TTGGAACATTTTACCCCCAGATGTTGTGTGTGCGCCGAACTTGTCTGTATTTAAACGTCGCTCGGACAGTGTATTGTTTCACAGCAATAACTAAATATTTATTATGTGTATAACATTTTCATGCTACTAACTATCAATGTGCATAATAGGTTCTCCTCTGCACTTTATTCTTTGTAATAGTAATAATTATTATTATTATTATTATTATAAAATGTGCTAATCTACATATCCTTTCATCTTCACATGTTCAATAGGTACTAGGTCTGAAGACCTTACAGGTCACGGAAGAAACGCTAAACACTAAAAATGACAAGACACACTAAAGTAAGAAATTCTTTAACTATTCTAAGTATCAACATTTTCCTGAACACATTTCTCACACTCTAATTGTCTGATTGTCTATTGTTTCCTGAGTTATATTATTACAAGGAGTCCTGTGCATGTGATTTTTTATATGCTCCCAAAAGAAAAACGAGTATATAACAATATAATGTGTGTTACATCATTGGAATCGGAATAAGATATTCTATTAAACATATATATATAATATACATACATATTGATACGTAACTTGGAAAACTTGGCTACTAACCGTACATTTTGTTTTTTTGTTTACGTTGATATCTCTAAAAACAAAAGACTTAAAATGTTATCAAGATAAATTGAACGCACGGTACGATTTGGGGTTCATGCTTCTACAAAAAAAAAAACTAGAGTTGCCTTGCTTCCAACTGCTATGGCGCCCCAAACCACGACGTCACTAAATCACCAACTTCAATCTGGCATGGTTTAGGATACTATAGCAGTCTATGCCAAATTGAAGTTGGTGACTTTCCACAGGATTTCGGCGGATTCTTCTACCGCCATCGTGAACCCACAACCAAAAACGTGACTCGTCGCTAAAAATAGCCCGATTCCCACTACTGATGACACCATGTCCGACGTAGCTGCCTATGCCTATGTCGAACTATGCCTATGCCTATACTAACCGAGGGCGGTATAACTGTGGCCCATAAGGGTATTAAGTTTTAAGAGCCTTTTTTCCCGTTCACTGCTCTTTAAAACTTCCTTGCCCTTGCTACGTATATGGCAACGATGTGCATCACTGTTGTAATATTACAGCGAATTCTGTTTTCTCTCCCAAATTCACTTAATTGACGACAAACCAGACCTTTTCTTACACATTGTACTGCGAAACGATACACGCAATCAACACAACAGACATATACCATGTATTTTAGTGTCTATTATGTATGGCATAGTCCGCAAATTCAGTGCAAGTATTGGGTACGAAGATGACCGGTATATCGACCCGTAAATATTAAGATTTCCTTTTTATATAACCTCCAAGGGATCTTTTGACGTGGGAAGAGGAAAAAATTTCTTATCGCGCACCACAACGAGGAAGGAGATCTATCCAAACTTCCCATGAAAGGAGTGCTGTACTTCTTGTAATATAAAGGGCCTCTTCCAGTTCGTGGCTTCAATGAACCAATTCCATGAGTGTTAACTTTAAATAATAAAAATAAATAATAATTGTCCAGAGTAAATCACAGTAATATCACACATTAGGTTACGTAAATTTTATGTAACTCATCTGGGGTAATTGCAATTAACGGCTACTTTTACTCTGTCAGTAATTGTCATGGTAACCCTGTACCCGTGCCTACGGAAATAATGCTAATGAGCGCCATTTTTCCGCGTCACGCATGACGGGATCAAACGGCTCAGCGATTGTCAGCCGTTTTTTTTGTACACGAGGCAATTAAAATAAAAGCGAATCGCCACGCGTGGGCGCCAACGACGCTAATTCGCCATGATCGCTGGTACGGGCGCTTTTTGAATTATATTTTTCCTACCATTTGACTCACTCTAAACAAGGTCAACTGGGAACAAATCCCTAAAACGTGGGTCCCCTTATTTTGCCTCTTGGCTCATCGTGGATACCGTCGTTATCCCCAAACCCAAACGTCGACTTTTATTCGGCTTTTACCGATATATCACGTCGCCACAACGATACATTACGGAAAGGTCACATCCTGGAACGTATAAACGACCTATTAATAATTATTAAATAACCATTACGGGTCTGCAAATTACTTTGCGCTTATTATCGTGTATACGCGTTCCAAAAAAAAAAAGAAACGGTGGTAATCAACTTTCAAAAATTCATAATAAACGCCGCGGCCAAGATAAGTCTGACCTTGTCGATCGTATTTACACACTCCGCACTTCCTACTGTAGATTGTCATAACAGTCGATATAATTTCGACATTATTGTGATTTTTTGCTGACGTGATTTGGTTTTGGGTATCAGCGCCCATGGGTATCGAGGCAGGGTTGTCGATACTTCTTATGTAACGTTTTATTAGGTTAAAGCTCCTTTGGGATATTTCCAACCAAAAAAGGGACGTTGGAGTTTACCATTCACTTGTCCATCACTGTGACCCAAAGCATCAATAGTTAGAGCTCTATCTAGGTTCATCTATCCGCTTAGACTGCACAGCTTTGGTGAATACGTTACCTCTAGGGATTACCCTTACACACACTTAACGACAGTTCAACCGTTCGCCCAATTTAAAACGATACTTCCACAGAATCATCATCATTATCTTCTTGTTTCGTTTCACAAGACGCTGGATCAGACTACCATGATCATTCGGCCATAGCCGACACCGTAGAAGTTTTTCGGTCATGCTCCAGCGAAGTTTATTTACATACCATCAGGCAGTGATCGAACTTTTCGTTAGCTAAAAGCGTACAAGACTTTTCCTCGCCACAAATGTCTATATATTTTCCTTTTATTAAGAAATTTCTTTAGTTTAACGAATTCCGTTTCAATTTTCTCGTCAGTTTCAAACTAAAAGCGCAAACTGCGGTCGTTTGTCCGATCTTATACCGAGTAAATCCTTTAGCTTCGGTTTTTTACGGCCACCAATTACGTCGTTAAATGTCCGACGCCGGTTTCGACAAAAAAATAGTCGTCTCATGGCATCGCAATTATTTATCCGTTGCTTTGTGTCGTATAACAATTTATCGCTATAGCGAACTCCAGGGGTGAGCTCGAATACGCGTTTATAGGTTGAATCAGACTCAGCCTTGGTGCTCTTGCAACAAATCGACTTTATAATCCAATCGTGGGAATTTTCTATGAGAAGATCTCTCGAAACAGTCGATTAGTTGTCCTTTCATCTTCCTCTGATCGGTGTCGAAACCGTAATCGTGCCGGTAAAATTGTTACCTCGTGATTCCGTGTGATGTATCGACCGACCGCGTAGCGTAGTGAACCAAGGCCGGACCGCGGAACACAATTTGGCCGGTTTGGTCAACAGCGCGTCGCAAATTTTTGTTCTATTTTTACGTTTTGCTTAATCTGAGGTTGACGCGAGTTTGGTACTAGTAATTAGTGTTACAGACTAAATTTACCCCAAATCAGAAATTTGCCTTTAGTTCAATACCTAAGTTTAACAATAACCAAATGAAAGGCATAGACACAGATATGAAAAGGATAGTAATTAGTTTCAGCTGCTCTATGTACCAACTCACGTCTAGTCCTTCTAAGGATAAATGGTGCATGCGCCAGTAAAACGCTAAAAAACAAGAAGCGGGAATACATATCTGTTACTAAACTATTTTAATTTTTTTTTCAGCGATTTACCTTAAATTCAGTTGGTTACTAGTTGCGTTATCTTTTCCCGGAATCACTAGTGGTACATTGAAAATAGGGTATCGATCGCATCCCAATTTAATTCTAACATATCTCAGCTAAATTGTAAACATAATCATCTTTCATGCGCAGAAATGTTTTGATCGATCGCAAGTCAAATGTTCAATTCACATCGAAGTGACCAGTCACAACCGTCTGTCGTCGCCAGAGAATATCGAATCGGTTAGATCCTTTTCTTCGACCAATGAAATCTTTTGTTTTTTTTTTGGTACTTTGAATATTAATAGAACAAGCTCGTATCGGGTTCTTTTAGATTTAAAACGCTAACGGGGATATAACCCATCGGAGTTTCGCACCCATATTTTGGATTGGAATATATTGGGTAAAGCGAATTTAAATAAATCCGTGAACTAGCGAGGAAGGACACTAACAATCTGGGAAGCTCGCCCTTGAATTTCTAACGGTGTTCATTTGCCATTGTCTCTGTAACTATACTTTGTACTTTGCAATCTTTTCAGCGTGTTTCTCAGTGTTTGAAATCGCTACCGCTATAAATGTTGCTCTCTTGGCTGTCATCTCTAACAGCCGGGTCTTTAGGTAAATATTTGAAATAGTTGCGAGCTGGTATTATCTGGTTCTGAATTGCTAGTAAGAAACCTTCTGTTGTGGGAAACATCTGTCCAGAGATTAGCTCATAGTTCGACGCTGCTTTGTCGGCATGTTTCTCTCCAGCGTTGTATCTTTTCGTCGTTCGTCTTATGGTGAACCAGGATTTGTTTCTCTTTTAGTCGTAATGGAGTAGAGTCATCTATTTAGCATATAGCTCTATGGAATTCTGAATCCCTAGATTTCCTGTAGCAGTAGCTTCGAATATTTGCAACTTGTGACGTGGGAGCGTGAGTCTCTCGGCTGCACTACTACGATCGGGGTTCATAAATTTAGTTAGAAGCGTTCGCACCTTTCTCTGTAAATTATCGACGTCCGTTTTGCTCCATTGCACTATTCGAAACTAGTAGCCAAGCATTGAGCCGGCATAGGAGTTGATTGTTGTTATTATTATTACTATTATTATTATTACTTTAGCTTGATTGTTATTTTTATTATTATTATTATTATTATTATTATTATTATTATTATTACTATTATTATTATTAACACTTTAGCAAAATCAAGACTAAGTAACCAAAACACTCGTAAACCGTTTGGCATAAATTAAAAATTGTAAATACATTTTTGTTGCAACAAAACAAATAACACCACGTTAAATTGAATGTAATGTAAACCAAAAAATATTTTTAAAATTATATCTGGAATATTTCATCGAATGTTTCAGATATTCCTAAATGCAATGTGATAAGTCCCCAAGACATCAGCTTGTCCCTAGCGGCCGACGCGACAAGGTCGCTGACGTCAACCGCCGCCCTACTCGCCCTCCAAAGGATAAAGGACGCGTCGATGTAATTTTTCGCAACCCTTCAAAATAAGCGGCGTTGCCGTTCAATCGCCGTCACGTTTCAGATCGCTCACAGTTACCCCCTCCCCCGGTAAATCCAACGCGAGCAACATCACCAACAATAACACGATCAACAACAACGTCTACGAAGCGGGAAAGACGACGACGATCACGCCCGAGGTGACCATAAGGCGGAGGAAGATCCACCGTTGCGACGTTGCCGGATGTCACAAGGTGTACACGAAAAGTTCGCACCTCAAAGCACACAAAAGGACGCACACCGGTAATTGGGAAACTTTTATTTCGTGCTATGTCACACAACTATAACAGTAGGGTCGGAAAAAACTCTAACCATTGGTTGGTATACAAATGGAAGTCTATTATTACTTTTGACATTTTAGACTAAAATATGGTACCTAAGAAGCATGTTACGATGTCTGCTACAATTTACCTAAGATTGCTATTATTTAAAAACGTGTATTATCTACTTACCTGTATTATGTAGTCTAGAAGATGTCACTTTCTTCTCTTCGCACTACATTCAGTTAACAATTTCAAGATGTCTTTATGACACTTTTTGTCATAAATCTACATTGCAAGCGTGAACGATCAGAATATCTTTATCAAAGTTGTCTCCTTATAATTCTTCTTGTTTTTCTGGAAATGTTTCAGGCGAAAAACCTTATCAGTGTTCGTGGGACGGGTGCACCTGGAAATTCGCAAGGTCGGACGAGCTCACTAGGCATTACAGGAAGCACACCGGTCAGAAACCGTTCAGCTGCAACCTGTGCCAGCGCTCCTTCAGCCGATCGGACCACTTGTCCTTGCACATGAAACGCCACTGACAGTTTTACCGATGAGTTTAGCGAACAATTAAATATAGTAGGCGATGTTTTTTTTACGGTGCTCTCTTTCGGAAAACGTGCAGATTTTCGAAAATCCTGCGCACACCGTGACGGCTTTTTTTCATTCTCACCGCCCGTCACGAGCTGGACGCGTGTTCACGACGACGAATGCACGATTTTGATATGCATCCATCTGACGTGTCTATCCCGCAGTGACAGTTGTCGACATGCAGAGTTTTGAAACGATATTCCTCGATTTGGACCGCGTTGCGACATTTGCATTCTCTGCGTGCTACCGTCGTGGCACTTATTCGTTCTCAACTGCGGTAAAGTTCTAGCATTTTGCGATTCTTGCTCTATTCATTGACTTCACCAGAGTTGCTGTCATGGCCACCTCTTTCTATCGAACGCCGTCAATGGCCGAATTTATACGAAAGAAATTATCGAACTGCGAACCCAAAACCAAACTAAATTTTCAGTACTTATGACACCAACATTCGTAACGCCAACCGCAGTTGAGGACAACATTTGGAGAATATGCGACACTATAACCGGCCCACAACACATTCTTTGTTCCTTGGTTCAGGGACTGCCAAAACCAACCGCCCCTGACAGTGCTGCCAACTTACAATAAGCGAAGATCTAACTCTTGAACGACTATAATTATTCTAAACTAATCTTATCGACTTTCGTTCATTCCAGTTTGAAAATGTGCACAGTTTTTTACAAAGAGCACTGTTACACGTGACGATTTCTAAATATTCTAATATTCAAAAATGTCAAATAAACGGGAAATTCTGCAGTTATTTTGCCAAAACATCCCTTTGACTACGTTTTTTTCCGACACGGTGGTCATTCTAAATACTCTCAATAAGTTTTCGCGAAAAAGGTTGCAATCGGTTGTTAGTGCTGAACCCCGTATATGACGTCTGCGATAATCATATATAAATTTACAACATGGATTTACGTAATTCAAAGAAATGTGCTAAAAACAGCAATCAATGATGAAATGTTGTACGTGTATGATATTTTTTATACATTCCTATAAATAATTTCAATATTGTGTAGATTTTAAGTGATCGGAACATGGTGCCAGTAGCGATGTCAAAACAGTATAGTTTTGTAAATTAATAGAGAATTTTTTTAGCGTTAGTTTCTAGCTCGTAAAGTCTTCCGTACAAGAATAGGCCCAGTATATTTTGTATACCAAAAATATGTACATCAGTAAATTCGCCCTGAACGATAACAATATAAAAGTGTGATACAAATATTTGTAAAGTATATATTTATTATCAAACAAAGAAGCGCTTGTAAAAATTGTACAGAAATTTTGAAATCGTTGTTATTTCGGATCGAATACTTTTATAGAACAGGTTAAGGTTTGGCACGCAACCCCAATTGACATCAATATGGGAGCTAATAAACCATAGATTATGGAATTTGGATTAAACTCTGGGGACACAAATTACATTAACCAAATCTGTATTACTGTAAGAATGTAAGGTAATACAAGATTATTTTTTTATTTGCTATTTGTATGCCACCAAATTTTTTAATAGACAATTTTTATAAAAAGTCCCTATAGACAAACATCCCTACATAAGTGCAATTACCGTTTTGTATTCTTAAGTGTATTATTATTTCTAGGAGTTAATATGTTAATTTCCTTAAATGAAAGTAGGGCGCCACCGATACGATAAATATCACCAGAGTCAGAAAAATGACCACAATTTAGGCGTTCCCTTTTTTACTCTTAATATTTAGATTAAATATTTTTTAACGCATTGCCAGTAAATGGGCCAGTATATAGTAATACAACCATGTACCTATTAAAAATTATAGTTTTATGGTAATTCTAGAATGATTTTAATATTGCGTCTGCCTGAAATTTTGATGAACTATCAGTTAATTTAAGTGATACAAGACCCTCCAAAAAGGCAAACAAATAACATTTATAATTGAGCTTATGCAACAACAAAAATCATAATTTTTGGCATCAGTAAAACATAAAAGTTCCCTTCTACCCTATAAAATGTTCATTTAGTTAAGATTTTAAATAATTTGGATCTCCGTTAGTTTTGGTTAGTTAGTTTATAGCTTATTATTGTAAATTTTTTTGTATATTTCATGTATTGGGCATTTCTGTTATAGCGTGTTTAAAACACAAATAATTTTTGTTTTGAAAAAGAATTTATGGTGCATCCTAGGGAATTATAATATATTTATTAATGTTAAATGTTTAAGTTGTTTATATAAATATATGGAAGGGTTTTCAAGCTGTTTTATTTGTGTGTGAAGACTAAAACAGTTTTAGGTAGAAATTAGACTTTGTCACTATCTGCAAATACCTATAAAACTTTTTATATTCAAACCAGCAATATATTTATTTACAAAAAACTTAACAAAATAAAAAGAGCACTTTATGTAACACAAAAACAAATCTCTTAAAACAGGCTTTGTGCTTAAACTATTAGCTTTGCAGAGTGTAACCTCCCTCTATCTTGGACAATAACAACAATAAATTTTCCATTTCAGTCAAACTTATTAGTTGAATTTACAATAATTTTATTTATAAAATAAAAACAGAAATTCAATAAGGGGGACTAATTCCAAAACAAAGTTTTTAACTTGCACGAAAATATGCAATGAAAAAAAACACTGTTTATGAATTTATCACAAGGCATACCCGCCACTGATACAAAATGTCACATCACCATAACCTCACCATCTGGTTTAGATCAATGTATTCTACTAGCTGAAAGAATGTCACCGACTCGCAAACTCAAATCATTACGTCTTGCCTCTGTTAATGCTCTCTGAAGTTTTGTTCGCCAAGAATAATCTGGGGCATTATCTCGGTGAAAGTTTAAAACTTCTCTCACCATTTCTACAAAATTGCCCCGATGCATGCTCTCTAAACTATCAATTATTCCTTCTGGAATGTCCAATTCTCGGGCAAGCTGTTTCCACTTGAACCCAATTTCATTAATTATCAATTGGTGTACCCTCTCAATTGGATGCCTCTCCACACGAGGAATAACTAAAAAATCCTTACTTTACTTTGCCGCGTTTGCCTTAAGTTTGAAACAAACCTCCTTCCATTCTGTCATGGTGGTGGAGCTCCTGTACTGCCCTTTGAATTTCACTATCGGGATTTTCTCTATTTACAGCAGTTACAATATATATCAAATTATCAATATTATTAGGTCCTAGCACATCTCTACTTTCGAGCACATCGATCAAATCTCCCACAGTGTTTATACTGTCCAATCTTCTAATGGAATTTATATCTGTTTCGAAATGATTTACCAAGCTTGCACTGTCTATAACCCTAGTTCTCAATAAAAGACAGAGGCGATGGTAAGCATCAATACTTATAGCCATTTTAAAATAGAACTAACAACGATTTAACTGGGAAGACTGGAACTGGAAATGACTCATTACTCATTTGATAATGACACTTACAACTTACACTCAAAATAAATTCTAAAAAAAACGTTCTCTTCTTTTTCGAATTGCCTATAAGTATGAAACAATTAATTAGGTGGACCCATTTGTCATAAGAAGAATCGCCACTCAAAAAGACGAGGAAGTGCATAATAACCAAACATAATCTAAAATACTAATTAAAATGTTAGCCCTGTTTAGAACAACTATGTGCTCGACTGCAGCACAAATGCGGGTTGTCTGCAATCAACTTAACGCAAAGTACCACCTGCTCGCAAAATGCACTCCTATTATTTCCAATAACTTGGCGTCAAATCTTTTGTTGCCCCATATCCAGAGTATTGTACCCAGCTGCGGTTTTAAAGTGATGGGAAAAGTGCGAAGAAGGTGCAAAGATTGCTTTATAGTTTGCAGAGAACAGAGACTCTATGTACTTTGCAAAACCCATAGGCGTCACAAGCAGATGTCAATGGTAAAACATCCCAGTAAAACATGGATTTTGAGCCACGCAACCCAATCGAAAGTTAGACCATGGTAAACGTGATGGTTTTCTAATAGACAATGGCAAGGTTTTTTTATGATGAATAAATGTTTTAAGAGCATTCCTCGACTTTTAGTCCCATACCACCCAATCTGATGATAAGTTTCTATCATGCATAAATTAATACTTCTAAAATTTTGGCCTACTACTAGTAATAAAGTTTACTCTCTTAGTAAACCTTTAGTTTAACGAGTTTGCGAAACTTACCGGTTCAATGCAAATGAAGGGATTGTACGTGCACTTAAGTGAGGTTATGTCATTGATAGTTTTTCATGTATGGTTATGTTGATAAAGGAAAATGAGCGAAACTAATTATGACGGAAACAGTGTAAATATTTATTTCCCAAGGAAGAAAGGTTAATGATTAATTTAAGGTACCTCTTTTTAGGATCTATTTTTAAATGACCGTTATAATCCGCCTTCTAAAGAAAACACTTTGCCCAAAGACAGGTTTACTGAAGAATGCGAACGCCACCCCGCAAAGAGAATAAAAGTCGACGACCATGGCTCGTCAGTTGAGCCAAAATCAAATGTAGGGCAGCCACTTACTTTAAAGAGGTGTGATTCAGCCTCTAACGGCATCAAAAGAATATTCCCTGGCCCTGCGGGCGTTATAAGTGATGACTTTGGTAGAGCTAATGTTAGTGTTGCAGGTAACTGCTATTGTCTTTTTTTTTTCATTAATTTTTTTAGGATCCTATGTTGTGTTCCCAACAAACGGCAAGAATTTTTGAGGATGGCCCTTGGAAAGATATGAGCAAGGATTTCTACATCAGTGACAATGTATATCTGTTTAATAAATTTAATATATCATGGATTAAAAAGCAAGCAGGTATGAATAAATTTCTCGACCAGAAAGCCCCATATTTGGCAGGTATCCTGCAATCATTAGAAGTTTCAGAAACGCAATTGCGAAAATCAGTTAACATTACTTTAAAAGATTTAACAGGTGAGTAGGGAATTCCAATTATACTAGACAGTTATCAAATTGTTCGCTCTTAGGGCAGATCCAAGGTATGATCCAGCAAAGTCTTTATGAGGATTACTGCAACTTTTTCACCTTGGGTGCTGTTTTGGTACTTACACAATTTGGCGTTCTCTCATGTAATTGCAACAAATGTGACAACCATCACTTAACAATTACCTCCAACAGTTTGAGTGCCATTTACAATGGGAAACAAAAACTAGTGTTGAAAAAAATTGACCCCCAGGAACTTTGCGCCTCTTTTTATAAAAATGTTAACGAACAAATGAAGATCGATTCCAAAAAAATAAGTGCCAAGTGCAGTACCTCTGCTGCGATTTCAAGTAGTTGCCGCCAAATGAATATGTGTAATGTTCAGATAAATTCAGAGGCTAAAAAATTTCATTTTAAGAAAACGCCAAAAACCTTGGAGGCCAGTCTTCTAATAGAAACATTATCGCCCGAAAATAGTAAAAAAAAAGACTTGAATTCAATACCCGTGCCAAACTCTCAAATATCCCTCAAGGTTGACCGCAGCGAGCACAAAAAAATATGGGATGGTATACTGGAGGATGTTGACCTAAGTGCTTTGTTTGAGGATTTTTGATTTCTTTTTGTAAAGAGGCATTGCTCTTAATATGCAAAATATTTATTTTGTATAAAAATAGATTATTTATACAGTTACCAAGGTTTTTTTTTTTCACTTTTTCTTCGAAAATACGGTAATAAAAAAGGACAAACTGGTCAGACTGACATATATACCAGGAGGAGGAAGCAAAACAATTCTCTACAGATGGCCGATTGATCCGTGCCAAGGGCACTCACCGAACGTTCGTTTAGTCAGTAGAGAGGCACTGGTAGTAGCAAACCGCTGATCTTAAGTGCCTTGTTTGAAGATTTTTAATTTGTTTTTGTAAAGAGACATTGCTCTTAATATGCAAAATATTTGTTTTGTATAAAAATAGATTATTTATTCAATTACAGATGTTTTTTTCGACTTTTTGATAATTTCAGAAATCATTCTTTCATTTCTTATCCGTGCACCTAACTACATTGGCCAAGTTCGCCGAAGGTTCGTAAAGGTTCTGGTTAGTACCAAGCCGCTATACATTCTCCAAATTGCAACTGACGTCTTTATATGATACACTTATTTTAACGTAAATTTTGCATTCTTCCCTTTAACATTCAAGTGTAAAAATGTCATGATTAGATCTTTGAATTAGTAACAATTCCCTATGTCTTGACCACGATAAAGATGACGAAAATTTAACACTACCGTCGACAAACGGTGTTTTCGGTTTAAAAATTTAAACGACGTTAGTTGCTGAAAATTGAAACAGTTTCAACAAAAAGACGGTACATGAGCGTAAATAAAACTTTATGTACTTACAACAAAATTTATTTACAAAAAAGCAAAACTCATTCAGTTTCCGTACTGATCCAAAAATCCATTGCAAGCCCTTACGCACTGCTGGTAACACTTTTCAAACCCTTTCGAATTATTATCCTAAAACGACAACGTCTATAACACATTACGCACAAGTATGTGCGCTTACGTAGTAAGGATCTCTGATGATCCTCTCCCCCTTAGGATCAAAGTCGCCCAAAAGTAAAATTTTGGCTTTCGTCCCCGGAGGTTGCTGCCCTTTTAAATTCGAAATATTATTTTCGTCCATGCCGAATATGTAATCGAATTCGCTGAAATCTTCGTCTTCAATCTGCAAACAAAAACGGACATCATATGTCAACCTGATGCTACGAAACAAAAGAAATTTATAAAAAGTTCGAATGTGTAAGTAAATAATTACCCTAAATGAAAACAGTAAACGAATTTTACTTTGGCAACTTAAATTTGTTTTATTTTAGAATTTAATTTTAATATGTCATAATAAAAAACAGAACACAAAATTTTGATTGGTGAATATGATGTTGATTGAATTGAACGACTTTCATTTTTGTGTGTGTGTAGTTTTGACACATCAATATCAAAATGCCCATTAAGATTGTGTTGAGCGATCTGAGCCCAGGTCTGTATCCTGAAAATTCGAGAACGGGGAAGCCCTGCTCCTTTCGACGAGAAAGTCGACCATCCTACACAAGATGACGCTGCCGGCTTATAAAAGCGAAAGACGATGCGACAAAAAATTAACAGTTAATAGTCCATTCAAATTTGTCCTTAAAATAGAATTAAAGTTACAGAAATTCCCATAGAGCTAAAAAATTGGTATGAATATTCAGAATACTATTACACACAACTTGTGAAAAATCCGTATCAATCATTGTCAAGTTTGCAAAAATAGGTTTTTGGCGTCTTTCAACCAAACAGTGAGTTTTACAGCAAAAATATATTATTATATATATATTTAAGACGATAACACAATCTTTTGCAATTGCAAAAAGGGGTGCAATGCTAAATGCGTCTGTAAGACAATCGTGCTTCAATGAGACATATGATGCAACAAAATATTTGTATCCAACAAGAAGAAAACGAAGACAGGACATTAGAAGTTCGATTGGATTATTATAAATCCGACGAATAATATTTCCAAATAATTTTTTCATTTACAAATTACAGCTTTCGTCATTTTCAATACTCCATTTGTATTTCATAAAATACTTTTCAATTCAACAGGATCACAATATATCGTAGATTAGGCCTACAGGGGGAACAACATTAAAAAAAAAACGCCAAGCACACTACTTCATAAAAGATGTGGAAACGTGTACGAATATAATAATTTTTTCAATTCTTTGACTCGCTATTTCACGAAAATGACAATACTTATGAAGACAAGACAATCGGATGATCTATTTTTGCTGTGAAACTCGTAGTTCAGCTGAAAAACTCGAAAAAAACTGCTTTTGCAAACTTTCACGATTACCCTTCCTTTGTAGTGTCATGAGTGTCGAACCAAGTCTCTGTAATGCTCTTGTGCAGAAATAGGAGCAATGTTTGACGACCGCCAGTAAATCGACCATTTTCTTTTAATTCCTGTTGCAATGATTCGAGTGACGGAATGTGATGCTTTTGTCATATGGTTCCTTCGTTTCTGGTGAATCATTATCAAGGAATCGACGCTGCCCTCCCAATGGCAGCGCCCATGTCCTGTGACGTTTTTAGAAATTCTACAGACAAATTTTGAACTACAAAATATAAATTATTATTTGCTGATTTCTTTTCAAAGAGTTTTATAAAATTTAAATACGTACAAACAGTATGTGCAATTGTTCGATAATAGAAACACAAATATAAGTACATATTATATAGATTTTGCGTTTATATACTCATCAAGCGATTCTCTTGTAGCACACGTTCAAATTGCTGAGTCATGACAAACTAGAAGTACTGTGCAGAGAAACACAGAAACTATTTATTTAAAAAAAAATATTAACTCAGAAAAAAAAACTACAATATTGATTACATAATTGACACTTTTAAATTTAAAAAATTATTTTGACTTCAACCTCTTCAATAATTGTGAAAACAAATCGTTGTGTCTTTATAAATTTTGACATATTCGAATAAACTAGTAAAATAATCGACGCTCAAAACAAACCAAATATATAACTACGTGCAACGGATGCGTTTTTTAGAGAGAACCTCTTAATGATCTTTTGCCTTGAAGTTCGGAAATACGTTCGGCTCCACCGTACGCAGTCGAAAGCGCTTACAGAGTTTAAAAATTCTACATTACCGAAATACTCTCTCCTTCTTCACGTAAAACGGATTACAGAGTCCCACCCCAGTTGTGGGTACTAACAAAATTTGCAACTACCAAAACAAATGAATCGCTATACATTTTTTTCTATCTTTTCACATTTCATTCATAATTTATTCGGAACATTTATGGCAATTTTTAGTTCAATGGGAATTTTTGTAGCCTTCAAAGTCCTATTTGACCGAACTATGGCAGTTATAAACAACACTTTAATGGTTGACTTGGAGAGAATAAACCTTTAGTTAGTTTGAGTTTTTCGCCTAGTAATTTATTTTACCGTCGCGTTGGACGAACCAGAACGACATTTTCCGTTTTAAAAAGGTAGGAATACATTAAGTTTAATCGGCCTAACAAGTAATTATGAATATACGCGTTTTGAAGCAGGAACGATAACACATTCACTTTGATCCAAATTCGACCGGTACTCATTCGCGACTATTACGTCACGAAGCGCCACCACGCTTCCTTATTAGAATAATTACAATTTTCAGTAACATTTCGATAACACCTGATACCGGGTCGGCGCAGTTGCGTGGATCGTCAGTGATAACAATTTTTGCGTGCCATGAAACCATTCGTTGTCCTCTTCGTTATCTCCTGGGGCATTTTTACTTGTCTCGCTGGAAAACAACAACAGCCCCACATCGTGGTGATACTAGCCGACGACGTCGTAAGACCTTTTTTGTTTTACTCGTGCCTGTTTTATTACAATAATTTAATGAATAAAAAAACATTTTCAACGTTAAATTTACTTTAAGAATATTTAATCAGCAAATCTGAATTTGGTGCAACTACTTTTTGCCGGATTGTTTTAATACAAAAGGAATGAAAATCTAACTAGAAAGACATTTTGGGAATGAAGATTTCGAAAGATAAGCAATAAAATAGGAATTAATCACACAAGTTCTGGTGAACACCAGTAATGTGCTTTCTGGGGTGCTCCAAGGCTTTCTACCCTACTTCGCCCTCTTTCTTACACTGATTTTAATAATTACACGAAGGTCATTAGTTCCGATTTAAATCTACTAAATTGCTTAATGTCAAATTTGAGAATCACCATTGACGGCCACATATTTTACCAAAATGAAAGTTACATTGTGCAAGGAATTGGTAGTGTCTCCCCCTGTCTTCGAAAAATTTTAAAAAATAAATTCAAGCTGAACTCTGATATGCATAACAGAGATACCAGAAATATATAAAAATTTTTAATATCGAAGCACAGAATAGCAGCATACAAAAAACATTTACTTGTAACAGCAGTCAACTTTATAATTCTTTGTAACATGATTTAATACACCATAATATTAAAAAAATCAAAATTGATTTATTTAACAAGCAGGTAGAGTCTTATGACTTTATGCACGAGTAGTAGAGTTCTCCTAACAATATACCGTTTCTACGACATAATCGGGCATTTAACTTTGGTAAATTTTTATGAGGGTCTCCGCAAGCCCATCTCGCTTTAGCTTCTCTTAAATAATAACTTAAATAACTTCGCAATTCCACAATGACGTTCCAGAACCGTACTTCGGTACTTAGTCCATTCATAATTTAGAATATTTATTGTAAATACAAAATGGCCCTCTGAGTCTTGAAAAACAACTGAATAGCAGTAAGTTGCTAATTACTAATTACAAACACAACACGGAATAGAAATAACTCCAACGCTTCGACGGATGAGACAACACTGCTTCATAAAACTTACGCCAGCAGGTCTTAAACACATTCCACAGTCAAAGCCACAAAAGGTTGTAAAAACGGTATATCGTTCGGAGAACTCTACTAACTCAAGAGGCATATATAATGTTTTATCTATTTATTGGTTTGTTACTAGGCATAAATTTGTTATTATATTTATTGTATGGGAACAGTAAATAATGTATTTACTTAATTTTTGTTAAAAAAATTATCTTAACTGATGGATTGATAAGTTTGCGCGCTATTTGCATAAACTGGACTTGGTTTCCCAGGATTAAGTTTTAATAGCCTTAGACTAGATACCGGCCTATATATATTTATATTTTTCGTACATTTATACTTTGATTATCATAAATAAAGTCGGTTATTGTTATTATTATAATTAACAATTTAAATATTCATCGCGAATAAGACAAAAGACAAAATTAATAAAAACCTTGGCCCAAGCAACACCACCTATTTATCTGCAGTCCTCCAAAAATCTAAATTAACGCGTTTTTTTTAACAATGGGCTGGATTTTGTGACATTGGCCTCATTATGCGTTGTCAACCGTTTAATCTAAGTATGAAATTATGTATGTAAAAGTAACGTTTTCACTCATTCTGAAAGGATAGGTTTTATAATTATCCAACATAATTTTAACACCTCGCTCAACAAACACCGCAGGGTTGGAACGATTTTGGCTACCACGGGTCCAATCAGATCCCCACCCCCAACATTGACGCGCTAGGCTATAACGGGGTGATTTTAAATCGTTTTTACACGCAACAAACATGCACCCCGTCGAGAGCGGCTCTATTAACTGGAAACTATCCTATTCGATCAGGTAAACTAACCAAAACTGACAAGAAAAGTATGTCTATGATTGCCCTTGCAAACAGGTATGCAAGGTTACCCCATGAGATGCGGCGAAAACCGATACATCCCGGCCGACATGGCAACCCTGCCGCAAAAACTCAAAGAGCTGGGCTACAACACCCATCTGGTGGGCAAGTGGCACTTGGGTGCCGCGACGAGCTCCGTAACTCCCACGGGCAAGGGTTTCGATACCCACTTTGGCTACTATAACGGCTTCGTGGGGTATTTTGATTATGTAATATCGCAAGATATGTCCGCGTACAACCTGAGCGTAAGTTTTTAAATCGTAACTGTGATGATTCTGTGGTGGAGCATTGCACATGATGGTTTTTTCGATTCATTTTTAGTGTGATTTTTGTTCCTGAAATGTTTAGTGAATGTTTTAAATGTTTAAGTGTGCCGACTCCGCTGTTTTCTCTGTTCAAGCCGGTAGGAGGCCGGATAGTACGCAGTTTAAGCAGGGTGAAGCCGGTGTTTTTTGATATCTGTCAAAATCCTTTTTTGCTAGCTGAGAGCATATATTGGTTATATTTCTTCTTTTTACGTTTGGTGTATGACCAAATGAAAAATCTTCGGCAGATGCTGGAAAATGGGCGATTCACCACAGCAATCCTGCCCAGCCGAGAGCAAATCGTATTTTCTCTCTCTCTCTCGTAACTGTGCTTCGTGAACATCTCTTTAAATTAAGTTGGCAGATAACCTCACTTTTGACGTTAACTGACGTTAATGACCGCGATATTTCTGATCAGACGCGCATGCGCAATTGCATGTTTTCTTAATTCGTATTCGTTCGTAAAGACTTGTAAATAGTTTTTAGAGGATTACATGAGATATTTTAAATAGGACTACGTAGGATTCGACCTGCACGACAGTTTCAAGCCGCAGTGGGCCCTACAAGGAAGGTACGCGACGGAACTATTCACCGAGAAGACGATCGATATCATAGACAAACACGACCAAGAGGCGCCGCTGTTTCTGATGTTGGCGCACCTCGCCGCGCATACGGGGGCGAACGGTACAGAACTCGGGGTGCCGAACATTACAGAAACCAACGAGAAGTACGATTACATAGAAAATCCGATGCGGAAACGCTACGCAGGTTAATTACGTGTCTTAACGTATTGTCACTCAACAAACTTAATTGTTTACCTTGCAGATGTTATGAACATTATGGATAAGTCAGTTGGCGAAATTGTTAAAAAGTTAAACGAAAAGAACATGCTCGAAAACGCGGTAATATTATTCTTTTCTGATAATGGCGCACAAACTATCGGGATGTACGAAAACTACGGTTCTAATTGGCCGTTACGAGGGGTAAGTCACAGACGACATAAAGTCACAGAATGCAGTCTAACCACAGGTTATTATATTTAAGAGAGCTTTGATAACGCGAAATTGGCGAACTTACGTTATTATCTAGAAAGTACATTTTTTATGAAAAACTGCTATGAATATGGGTTTCTTGAATTAAATAGAATTAATGTGACGTCAAAATATGTCTTTGTACTGTTTAGCTAAAATTTTCACTGCATGAAGGAGGTGTTAGGGGTTCGGGGGTACTATACAGCCCCCTACTGAGTAAGAAACGCTACATCAACAACCAACTCATACATATAAGCGACTGGTTGCCAACGTTTTACCACATTGCGGGTTAGAATGCCTTATTGGCAAGAAATAACCATTTACCGTCACCTTTTTAGGAGGTAACATATCAGACTTGGGCAAACTGGATGGGGTGAATCAGTGGACGACCATTTCGGAAGATCAACGGGGCAGCAGAAACGAAATTTTGGTTAATATAGATGAAGAACTGAATTACTCTGGTCTGATAGGCTACAAAGGGCGATATAAGCTTCTGAATGGTATAGACCCTATCATTGTAAAGATCATTAATTCCAAAAACCCTTTTTCAGGAACTTTTCAGGGTGGTATTTATGACGGGTATTATGGAGAAAGTGGTAGAGATACCTCCAACCCATCATATGATTTAGACATGATTCTTGAAAGCGACGTGAATAAAGCTATACAAAGCATATCCAACCAAAGGCAACTAACCAAGCGTCGTATTAATTATATCCGCGAGCAATTAGATATCAGTTGGTGCAGGAATCAACAGATACCTGAGGATCTAGTGTGCTCTGGCTTTTGCCTGTTTGACATTCGAAATGATCCTTGCGAAACTAGGAACATAATTGACCAACATCAAAAAATAGCAGAAAGACTCAAGAAGAGATTGTCAGAGTTTTATGATAACTTGGTTCCCCAGACCAACAAACCAGTGGATCTAGCATCAGACCCAAAGCTATTTAATAACACTTGGTGTACTTGGTTAGAACCGGAGCTTTGCTCAAAAGCTGAATAAATTAAAATTGTATTAATAAACTCACTTGTCTTGCTCTACCATTATAAACAATATTGTGTTCCATTAAAGTATTTTGTGCTCTGGAATCTGGAGGATTTCCGGAGTGCCAACCACCTAATGCGGCACTATCTACTTTCCATCGATCAGCGATACCTCTTTCTTCTATTATTTGTGAAAAAACTGCCTCCGCAATCGGCGACCGACAAATGTTGCCTACAATAAATCTCTGCTAGTAGGCTCATTAACAAAAATTTGTATTATTTGTACCCAAACAGACGAATAAAGCCTTGTTCACCATTTTATTTTTAATTTACACTAGGTTCCCATAAACTTGTAGGTTAGATTTTAGTTATCAGATGTCGCAATTATGAACAGCTGAAAGGAATCGCGATAAATAATAATAACCAAAGAGGTCAATAGCCACGGGAGATTGATTTTTGTTTTTATGGGACCCGGTTAAATACATGAAGAACACAACATAACATATTTGTGTTTTTATAATGATACTATTAGTCGTAATTTTAAGGTCCGTACAGACAGTCCGAGTCCGAACAAAACATCGTATATCATTTACATTTTTTTTTCTATTCCTTTCTCCAGAATACCAAATTATACATTCTTGGAGAGTAATGATAATGAAACATTGATACATAATAATTTTTGGAAAAAATTATTGCTCGCAGGTTGCCAAACGTCTGTTATGTGTCCGTGCCTTTAAAGGTGGAGTAAGGCACAGAAAAAAAATATTTTGTTCTATCAACACATGATTGATTTATGAAAAATACGAGTCAATGCAGTAACTATTGTACATTAATAACGCTCAAGTAAAACAACTTAAAAAATCACAGCATATTGCGCGTTTCAAATTTAAACAATAGAATGTGTTTATTTTAGTTAAATTACGACACACAAAAAAAAATTAAATTAATGATAGCAGATGCTTGAGTGACCGGCGCACTGTCGTCCTACCAACAAAATCAATTGTTTTCATAACATAGGAGAACTCGAGCATCGAGGAAACGTCAAAAGTGAATTTACTACGCAGAGAGAGGCAAGCTATTAGAAAATTTTTGGTGTTTACCGGACCAACATGAAGTTTCAATACAAGGAGCAACACCCATTCGAAAAAAGGAAAACTGAGGGCGAGAAAATTAGGAGAAAGTATCCGGACCGCGTTCCCGTAAGTGCATTTTTCGATGCTACCTACTTTGACAAAGAAACCATCCTTGTTGATTGTAAATAAAATGGCAGCTGATAGGATTGATAATAACATTTTTTAAAATTTGTTTGACCTGTTTTGAAAATTGAAAGCGAAATTTCAAAAATGACGTCGGTCTTTTGGCAATTATTTGGTTGTGCGTCGCCAACCGCCCAAGGTCAACGGTGTTCTTAAATATGTTTTTCAATTTTGCGAAACTTGTAAAACAATTTTTAACGCCCTTGTTGTTTTCTAGGTGATTGTAGAAAAGGCTCCGAAAGCACGAATTGGCGATGTGGATAAGAAAAAGTACCTTGTACCATCTGATCTAACAGTTGGCCAGTTTTATTTCTTGATCAGAAAAAGGATCCATCTTAGGCCTGAAGATGCGCTATTCTTTTTTGTAAATAACGTTATTCCACCTACTTCTGCCACTATGGGATCCCTTTATCAGGTAATTTAGCATTTCACAAATTAATCTCTAGTGGTCGGATGACATATTTGTTAATAGTATTATTTTGAACTTTTTGTTTATAGGAGCACCACGAGGAAGATTTCTTCCTGTACATTGCTTATTCTGATGAAAATGTTTATGGCAAATTGGATCTGTAATCGGCTATAAAAATCATTGATCATGAATATGTAATAGAAAATATGTAATACACAAATTATTATAGTATTAAGTTTATGGTTACTTGAGAATTTGAACATATAGGTACATATGTTTTTGCTAATTGGCTGTACCACCCGTTTCTAAGGAAAGGGGGAGAAAACTTTTAAAAAAGAAATATGTTTATTTTGTATATGACTTAATGCTAGTGATGTTTCACATTATTTACCTATTATAAGGATGCCCTGGTTTCTTGTAGTTAGTATTTGCACAGGAGTAAGTTAGTTAAGATATTTAAGTCAGCTGGGCTGAAAATACATATTTTTGGCCCAGCTAAAATTTCGCATCAATTTTGTGAAGATTCTGTAATAAAAATAAAAGTTAGTTCGAAAATCCACCCAGACTTGTGTTATTGTTCCATTCGTTTTTTTTTATAACGATAAATAATAAGAAAGCTGTTAACGTTGATTGCGTACGAGATGATATCCACAAATCTAAAAAACTATCTGCGATGAATGACGTCAGGTGTGTATGTTAATAAGTCAACCGTTGTCAATTGAAACTATGTTTCATTTTTTAATTGTTGGATACCCTGTTGACGTTATGCGCAATACCCCGCGCACGCAGGAAGTAAGTGGGCAACCTAGCGGCAGAAGTTGACAACTCTCTAATCGGCACTTTGTCCCAGGTTGATCATGTTGGGTGCCGTAGGAAGAGCCGTCAGCCTTTTGGCTGGCAAATCAGCCGAAAAAGTCGGTCAGGAATCCCTGAAAGCCGTAGCCTGCTACAATCCGCAAAGTAAGTTGCGCTTTTCTGAGTAAAGCCGGATTTGCTGCTTGGAATAACTTCGGTTTGGATGATAATGGTTACGTAAAGTAGCGCACTTCTATTATGTAAGTGCCAGTTCGGGTGCGAAATTGAAGATCTGGAAGCACTTCGGGAGTAAAGTCGCATGTTTTTTTCATGACGAAGAAAGTATAAAAACCGGTGTTACATAACTATCTGAAAAATTGACATTTTTTACGTATTGGTGATTACTTTTAATTTGTTTCAGATCGAAATTTTGCTGCTAAACCCGGCGGTCAAGCCAAAGGCAAAGTTGTAGCCGTAATTGGTGCCGTAGTTGACGTACAGTTTGAAGATAATTTGCCACCTATTCTCAATGCTTTGGAGGTTTCAAACCGCCAGCCCAGGCTGGTCCTTGAGGTAAGACCTAATTTATTTCTCGTCCAGTTGGCAATCTTCAGGGTTGGAAAGTCGCTTTCTGGTTTTTCAATTAAAACAGCATTGCCATATAATTTTTGTAACAGTCTTGTTCATGTTCTTTGCCCATGAGAAAAATGGCTTGCATTGTTACATACATTTTTTGACGTTTTAACATAATATTAAATATTTTGTTTTTTTATTAGGTTGCCCAACATTTGGGAGAAAATACTGTCCGTACCATCGCTATGGATGGTACTGAAGGTCTAGTCAGAGGACAGGGTGTCCTTGACACCGGCTACCCTATCCGTATCCCAGTGGGAGCTGAAACCCTCGGAAGAATCATGAACGTCATTGGGGAGCCCATTGACGAGAGGGGGCCCATTCCTACCGATAAACTGGCCCCTATCCACGCCGAGGCGCCAGAGTTTGTGGACATGAGTGTCGAACAGGAGATTCTGGTTACTGGTATCAAAGTAGTAGATCTTCTCGCTCCTTATGCCAAGGGAGGTAAAATCGGTCTCTTTGGTGGTGCCGGAGTGGGTAAAACCGTACTGATTATGGAACTTATCAACAATGTCGCCAAAGCTCATGGTGGTTACTCCGTGTTTGCCGGTGTTGGTGAGAGGACCCGTGAAGGTAAGTGTTAGGGGGATTGGTGGAAAAAGCTTAAGGGGCCCACAATGGAGGACTATGAAAATTGCATATAAAAATAATGACATTCTGAGACAGTAAATATAAGTAAACACACAAAAATCTGCTTAAATAGCAATTGATTTAAAGCAAACTCTAAAAATGTACTTGTTTTTCAGAAAAAGTTAAACTTGTTCTCTACGTATCCTGCTTTATTGGGTCCTATTTAGGAACCTTAATTTTTTTTAACAGAACGGACTAGAAGTTTCATAAAAACTGTTACGATAAAATATTACATGCAAAGGGGGTGAGTACCAATTCTCAATAACAATTTCAAAAATCTTAACAGTCACAACCACAAAGTAATGTATCACACAAACAAAAAGAGACGAATTTTAAATATTTTTATGCTACAATCTTTATAGGAATGTCATACTGACGCAGAGCTATATAAAAAACGCCGAAATGGATATTCACCTATATTATTTCTGGGTTCTTTTGATTTTAAGCCATGTAATAGATAGATTCTTTACAAAATGGATCACAAGTATTCTGCACTGTTTGTATTCTTCAAGATAAGCATCTATAGCCCCTTGATCTCTTAAACCTTTGCTGCAGCGCCTTTTACGCTCTCTTCTATCACAAAAAGCGCAACTTTTATTCTCAGGCAACGATTTGTACCACGAAATGATCGAGTCTGGGGTCATTTCCCTAAAGGATAAGACATCGAAGGTAGCGCTGGTCTACGGTCAAATGAACGAGCCCCCAGGCGCGCGCGCTCGCGTCGCCCTGACCGGTCTGACGGTAGCCGAATATTTCCGCGACCAGGAAGGTCAGGACGTGTTGCTTTTCATCGACAACATCTTCAGGTTCACCCAAGCTGGTTCGGAAGTGTCCGCCCTGTTGGGTCGTATTCCATCGGCTGTAGGTTACCAACCCACCTTGGCCACTGACATGGGTAGCATGCAGGAACGAATCACCACGACCAAGAAGGGTTCCATCACCTCCGTGCAGGCCATTTACGTGCCCGCCGACGATTTGACAGATCCGGCCCCTGCCACCACATTCGCTCACTTGGACGCCACCACCGTATTGTCCCGAGCTATAGCCGAATTGGGTATTTATCCCGCAGTGGATCCTCTCGACTCCACCTCCCGTATCATGGACCCCAACATTATCGGGCAGGAGCATTACAACGTGGCGCGTGGCGTACAGAAAATCCTCCAGGACTACAAATCCCTGCAGGATATCATCGCCATCTTGGGTATGGACGAGTTGTCTGAGGACGATAAGTTGACGGTAGCGCGTGCCCGCAAGATCCAACGTTTCCTGTCGCAGCCTTTCCAGGTAGCCGAGGTCTTCACGGGTCACGCCGGTAAATTGGTACCACTGGAAGAAACCATTAAGGTGGGTGTATATGCGGTAAGCGTCGGGATAAGTAACTTGATTGGATTTTCAGGGATTTCAACAAATTTTGGGAGGGGATTATGATCACCTGCCCGAGGTGGCTTTCTACATGGTGGGCCCAATCGAAGAGGTGGTACAGAAAGCTGAAAAATTGGCGGAACAGTCGTAAATCATCTTGTTCATTATCGATTTAGAAAATTCCACTCTATAAGTTGAGGCAATGCCCGAAATCTTACTTTTTGTGAAGTTTTTTTTTATATAACGGGTGTAAGTTGCATTAAACCCTAGGCAGATCATAACATTTGTTGTAAAAATAAAGGAAACACGAATTACCTTGGTCGTTTGATTCTAACCTCCGTTTTAAGGTTTTTATGAAAAGTAAAGTTGATAAAAAATAACACTTTGAAATAGAGCAATGTCGTTATATATGATATTTTTGTCTTTCACGCCTTTGGAAAAAAAAATCTGCAGACATGTATCATTTTCATTTTCATAATCGAAATCAAAATATAAAAGAAAACTGTTTTTCTGAAATATATCACTTATATTTTGCCAAGAAATTTTATAGACTTTACAAAATTTCTCGATTCTTCATGCGTGGGTTCGTGATAGGTCGAAGTTGGTGACGTTTCGCCAATTTATCGTGTTGGCTTCTTCAGAGCTTAACTGAAACTGTTTTCAGTTAACACAACAAATAGAAATACACTAGCTTGTGAAAGATTAATTGGAAAATGGAATTTAGTATAAATAAATTTATTTATTGTTGAGACCAATATATGAACTGGAATAAAAACACTTCTATAAGTAAAAAAAAAAAACAGGGTCAAAATAGACAGGTGAATTTCCGTACGCCCTGGTGTATTTTTTAAAAAATCTACACTAAATAGTACCTTTTGATATGTAGTAGATGTGTGCCAAATTCCATTAAAATATCTAAAAGGGTATTACAGATATTAAAAAACTATTTCTTTCTTGAAAAATTTGCCACCCTATACCTGAAAAGTTAAGACATTTATGGCCTGTGTTCATATGAAGTTTTCTTGTTAAAATCTCCCCCTTTAATTATTGACATTTAATTAGAAAAGACCCTGTATATATAGATTTTCTGTTCATTTACCATTAATAAAAACAATTGAAAGTTATTACGCGTACCGAAGCGATTTTGTTTGAGTTCATATGTCGTAAGCCTCAGTAAGACTTAAAATTCATAAAATCATACCTCCGTATTTATATTTCCGGAGAAAAATTCTAATATTTTTATATTCAAAAAAACATTTAAAACCAAAAGGTAGTCTAAAGTTATTAATTTTTTTCCTTAAAATGCTAAAGCACGGAAAATGGAAATGATTTGGAATAAAATTCCGAGAATCGACCACAATTTTAAGTGAGCAACAAAAAACAGGTGGCTGCACTTCTATAACCCCAACAAATAAATCGGATTCAAACGATTGGCAAGCTTGTTAATCAAATTCATTGTTACTCGAATTTGTAATCAAACGCCATTTTGGATGGTTTAGGCGTGATTTGCCGTTTGTTGTGTGGCGACTTTTTGAACGCAAAAATTTGCCTGGTGAGAGTGTTTGGGCCGTATTGAGCGCTTGTGGTTGTTGTAAGAATGTCGATCGAATATTTGCAAGTGGCTGAAGATGAGGGAGAGGAGCCCATCGAGCTGCCCACAGAAGATGACGGGACTCTTCTATTGAGTACGTTGTCCGCTCAGTTTCCGGGCGCTTCGGGCCTCAAATACCGAAATCCCGAGACTAAGGCTGTGAGGGGAGTGAGATTGACTGACGGGCGGTTGCATCCACCTCCGGATGGTGGATGGGGGTCAAATATTTATTACTGTGTGTTTCCCAAAGGTGAGTAAGAGGTATTTTGTATGCACTTTAGATACGAGAGAGAAGGTATGTATGAAAGATATTAATCGGTCTGGATTATGACGTATGCTGGAGAAATTTTGTGCTAATTTGTGATCAAGTTCGAGTGCTAGTTGGCAATTTCGGTTTGCGTGTTACTGATTGCAATGTTGAGTTTGCAGAACGTAAACCTATAATGTGTCGTTAGCGCCTGACCAGTTCAATATCAACGCGACAAAGCACGAGAAGTCCCATAAATTGTTGTGGCGTTAAAGGTACAGGTATCAGGTTATAATAGTGTATTTTCTTTATTTGATCAAATAATCTTCAGCACAGAATTTCCATACAGAATGTCTTTACTTAAGAATAAATGAAGTTCCCGTTCCTAGTTCCCAGGTTGGATGATCATTGTAAACTTGCTGGAGCTAATAATTCGTGTTATTCAACAGTATTCCAATGTTAAGAAAACACATTCCCTAATCTTTTTTCCAAATCTTGTGGTTTCATAAAACAAAAGGCAAGAGGTTTTTAAAAAAACATTCCATTGGCTTAATGCTGAATAGACAAAATTCAAAGAGTGAAGAAATGGCTATTGCAAATGATGATTTTCCAGCTCCCACTCACGAACTAAGAACACCAATTTCGTTTATAAAAAAAAAATTTGTACTTCATGCTTACGAAATAAAACATTCTTCCCTTTCGGTGCTTCCAAATGTCATCATTTTCTATTTAAGAAATTGTAAAAATATATTTGGTCTTTACCTTTTTTTAAAATTCAGAATAATTCAACTTTTTGGCGACTTCTCTTATTCACCCATTTCTCGAATATGAACCTCGTGAGCCTGAAGTTTTAATCCACCATTAACATAACACATAACGCCTTTATTTAGAAAATAAACGAAAAAGCGATGACACGTTGGAAAACACAACCGCCAAGACAAAACGTATGGAAACCAAACTTCGTTGTACCGATTTGATTGTTTTGGGCCTGCCTTGGAAAACTACTGAGCAAGATTTAAGAGAATACTTTGAGACGTTTGGTGAAGTGCTCATGGCACAGGTATCTTAAAATCAATCTGTACCGTTACGAATTGTTAAAACCTGCCGCTTATTAGGTTAAAAAAGACCCTAAAACCGGACAGTCAAAAGGTTTCGGGTTCATAAGATTCGCTGCCTATGAATCGCAGATGCGGGTACTGGCTAAAAGGCATATGATCGATGGACGCTGGTGTGACGTCAAATTACCCAATTCGAAGGCAACTATCTTTTAAAGTTTTATCGGGGTTTGGTTTATCTGGTGTTTTTAGGAGGGATTGGTTCAGCAGGCACCATTAGGTAAGGTATTCGTGGGACGCTGCACGGAAGAATTGACGGCGGAAGATTTGCGGGATTATTTCGGAAAGTACGGCGAAGTGACAGATGTATTTATACCCAAACCATTTAGGGCGTTTAGTTTTGTAACGTTTCTGGACCCGGACGTCGCTCAGAGTCTCTGCGGCGAAGACCACATCATTAAAGGTGCGATTGCAACTTTTTAGAGCCTTCTGTCAAAAAATGAAACTTTTTTTTCTGTCACAAAATTAATCAGAAATTTTTTAAAATTTTCCAAAAAATTGAAAACTCGTAGGAGAATCCCATTGTGTAAATTATTAATATTGATTAACTTATTTATTATAAATTTATTATAAATTTTAAAATAAAGCTTAAAAGCTTAAAAAACAATATAAACACAATAAAAAGTAACAAGTTATTATTTGTACTCAGTATTCTTTTGTAACCATTGTTTTTACTTACAAGAACTAAAATTAAATTTGTTTTATTTATTCTATCGCTTTGGTTCAACTTTTCCCAGTTAAAGCCTGAGTGGGTTAAAAAGTACAATTAGCAACTATCAACTAGGAAATTTAGGAATTTAATGTTCATAAAAATTAATAAACAATTAAAGACAAGGACAGTTTGATAGGCATAAGAATTACTATATGCATAGATTTGTTCCAACACACAGATTGAGGATGTCAACTAGTTCATAATTAATCCGGAATTTAATGCTTTGTTAGAACAGTGTTATACCTGAAAGGTCAAGAGCACAATGGGATAACCTGTTCCAAATGAATGTGTTTAGGATATTTTGGTATTTTTATAAGGTACAAATATGATCGCCTAATCTAAAAGATTAATTTTTTCACCCAACGATGTAAACATATTTTATAAAGCTTCCAAGAATCTGAGACTCTAAACAATAAAATTATAACAATTTAAAAGACAATAACCATAATACTTGATCAGAGACAATACTTTCCAGAACAGAACCCAGAACTTTACATTAATTAATTAACATTAATTTGCTAATGCACATATTCAGCGTAATTTAAAATTAGTTCTCTAGTGAAACTAACCCGATGTCAACCATGTTGTCAGTTTTCATCTAAATCTTCCTCTTCTGCCTTATTTTATCATGTCTACAGCCAGTTGCTATTAATCATCTGTACAATTGTCTTTTTAACGAACAATTTAAAATAGAAAGTTGGGCCACTCTTATTGGAGTTTTGTCAATCCCTCTATGCGTTTTCATTGCTTTGAATAAAATAAGTTGTGACGACCAGGCGTGTCTGTACATGTGTCGAACGCTGCTCCAAAGTCCGAAAACCGCTCGGCAAAGTACGGCAACGACCCACGTAATGGGTTTGGCGGTCAGGGAGGCTCTAATAGGGGCGGAGGTCCGAACGGCCCCGACGGTTCTAGCAACATGTACCCCCAAAGGTACAACGGACCGCCGGGTCCGAACCAGGGCAGTTGGGGCAATCAGGGAGGCCCAAGGGGTAATATTGATATGCCCAACTTGCAGGCATTGGGTAAGCTAAGTAATTTTAATTAATGGCGACTAAACCCTCCTTCGGTCTTGGCATAGGTATTACCGGCCAAGGTCAGCAGAATAGTAACCAAGGTGGATACAACCCGCTGGGTCTGGGTTTAAATTTGGGCGCGTTGCCAATGAACCCCGCGCTGGTCGCGGCGGCACTCAATCAAGCTGGCTGGGGCCTCATCGGCAACCTCCAGAATCAATCGGAACCAAATTTTAATCAGGGGTTTCGAAACGGTCCGAATAACAACAGTAACGGTGAGTGTTCCCCCCACTCCCGTCCTACAGATGCGGTTTGCTTATTTTGTGTCTATTAGGTAATAACCCGGGTGGAGTTAACAGCCAAGGAGGGGGCAGCGGGGCCCCAGGTTTTCTCAATTGGATGTCCCAAGGCGGCGGCGCACCCAACAACCAGGACGGCAGTCAGTGGCCCTCTAGACCGCCCCCTAACCAAAGTCAAGACAAGGCATTTCTCAAATACGATTAAAATTAGGAATTAAATCAAAATGTAGTACAATAAGGTACTAATAAGCATTTCCTTGTTTTATCCTATCAACTGGATGCCAATCACGGTTGCAAGGTGATTGAACAAGTGGGTTGTGGGGTGCAAAGGCAAAGGTAGTCATAGACTACTTTTTATGAGCAACTTTTTCCCAAAACTCACTACTGGTACTTTTTAGACTTGTCTAGAGCATCATTTCGATTTTATTTATTGTAAGAGATATGAGAATTGTGTTTTTCTTTGTACATAAATAAACGAATGTAAGTCGGTCGAAGGTAAACCAAGCGTGGTGGAGTTTTACTTAAAAACTATTTACAATATGTAATAAACATAATAAATTAATTGAATTTTTTGTTTTCATTTATTCCCGGCTTGAGTAAAAATCCTTAGGTATACCAGTTTCTAAAACATAGTTGTGACGTAATTATAATGGAGGTTCTGTAGTAACAACGGCTGTATATTTCTATTCACTGAAGCAATTTTATTTGGGGCAATAATGAAACGAGAAGAGGTTCATTCATTTATTTTGCACAAATGTTCTTGAAGCCTTCGAATTTTTTTTTTGTTAATTTCTAGCATTGCAACGATTTCCATACTATGCTATAAAATATTTATAGTATGTTGTCTCGTAGCTTTCTTCATATAAAAAAACTCTATTAAATAGATAGTTTAAGTTCTTAATAAGCACGCTTTTCGACACATGAAAGTAAATATTAAATAATTGTTTATGTTAATATATTAATTTATATATTAATAAAGTTTAATTATTCCACTACATTTCATTGTATGTCGCGACCCATATAGCTGTTAGGCTGGCTCTAAAATGGTAAAAACAGATGCATCTCTAGCGACTCTATTTTCCACGCATTCGTCGAAATTTCACCCACTAACCTGCACTTTGCGTTATTTTCAGCGACCTTCACAGACTTAGCTCATTTTTCTAGAACATTTTATGAGATCTGAGCATATTTCAAGAAAATACAGCCATAAAAATGTTACATTTAATTCGAAATCTGCCCAATTGACAAACTGTCAGCGGTCATATTGGTTATTGAACGCTAAGAGGTCTTATTGGCTGACAAGGACATTTCAAATGATCGCACATGCGCAAATTAAATGACCAATCTCAATATATTTTTCATCGTCGCTTCAATTTGTTTTTATTATCAGCATAAACTTGGTTTGTATATTTTTAGTACCTATGTGTTGCCACCACACCATCCTTGAACATTTTAATTTTCGATTTATGACGTCATCTGACTTTCAAAACCTCATGCGCCAAAATGCGTTGCTGTTGGCAACGTGGCCTCGGCCATTTTGACGTTTGACCTAACATATCCGTCAAAACAAACGGCCCCAGCCTGGATCTCGTGCGAAAGTTTGAGTGGTTGGCCTGAGAAAATGTCTATCGAGTACCTGCAGGTGGCTGAAGATGAGGGCGAGGAGCCTATCGAGTTGCCCACCGAAGACGACGGCACGTTACTCATTAGCACGCTGTCGGCCCAATTCCCGGGCGCCTCGGGTCTCAAATACAGAAACCCCGAAAATAAGGCTGCCAGGGGAGTGAGGCTGAGCGACGGGCGGTTGCACCCGCCCCCCGACGGGGGCTGGGGATCGAATATTTACTACTGCGTTTTCCCTAAAGGTTAGGAGACTGCAGCAGTATTTCAATTTAAAATTATGAATTGTTTTTCTAGAAAATAAACGTAAAAGCGACGACAACTTGGAAAATTCGACAGCCAAAACGAAACGGATCGAAACGAAACTCCGTTGCACCGATCTTATAGTGTTAGGCCTTCCGTGGAAGACGACAGAACAAAACTTGCGAGAGTACTTTGAATCATTTGGTGAGGTGCTAATGGCGCAAGTAAATTAAATTCACTAGAAACATTATGTACAATAATGTAAAGAGAGCGTTGCATTTTAGGTTAAAAAAGACCCGAAAACGGGCCAATCCAAAGGATTTGGTTTTATTCGGTTCGCATCTTACGAGTCTCAGATGAGAGTTTTAGCACAGAGACACATGATCGATGGCAGATGGTGCGACGTCAAAGTACCGAATTCGAAAGTACGTCGACACTTAAAATTTGTATTTTAATTTATTTTATTGTTGATTATGTAAAATTAGCCTCCTTTGTTGGTTTATTTTAGGAAGGTTATGTGCAGCAAGTACCTTGCAAAGTCTTTATTGGGCGGTGCACGGAAGACATAACCGTCGACGATTTGAGGGAATATTTTGGCAAATTTGGAGAAGTGACCGACGTTTTTATTCCTAAACCCTTTCGCGCTTTTAGTTTTGTAACGTTTCTGGACCCTGAAGTGGCGCAGAGCCTCTGCGGGGAGGATCACATAATCAAAGGTATCCAAAATCACCTTTAACAATGTCGCGTTACAATTTACAAATCGTAGGCGTTTCTGTGCACGTGTCGAATGCCGCTCCTAAGCAGGATAACCGTCTGAAGCAATCGGGATATGATTCGCGTAATGGATATGAAGGTAGAGGTGGCGGGTATAACCGAAACAGTGGGATGGGAGGGTCTGGGATGGACGGATCGGGAACGTATGCTTCCCAAAGGTATAACGGGCCGCCGGGCTTGCCAGGGCCCAGTCAAGGAAACTGGGGCAACCAGGGCGGTTCGAGGGGCAGTCTCGAAATGCCAAACCTACAAACTTTAGGTGAGTTTTTGAATCAGTCATTTATTTTTATGGGCAGAATCACACAGACATTTTTCTTAATTTGAAAAAGACTTGATTTTTACAATAAAGGGTAACCAACATCAAGCATCATTTTTTTCCTATTACAGGTAAAATCGTAAAGAAATTTGGCGATATGTCTTATCTTCTGTGACTTCTTGTGAAAAATAATTCTAAACTTTTACCAGTAATCATCAATTAAGTAATCTTCCAGGTGATGTTTTTTTTTTCCCAGTGGTCCCTTGAAATTGCTTGTGTTGGGGTCAATTTAGCGGGGTGGGCAAGGTGGCAGAAGATTTAAATCCAGCGCACATAACTTTTTTTTTTTCCTTTTTTTTTTATAGGCCATAGCGGACGAAATAGTTGGTATAGGTCCGATTACTGACCAACTGACCTAGTTAAATGAGAAGAGAATGTGTGGGATTTTCGACCAAATAAAAAAAAAGTTATATTCACATCCTTCCTGGCGAAATGTTACTGTTTTTCTTTTACTCTTTTTCTATTTTCGTCTGTAAACTCTGGATTGGTGTTTTCTTTGTTTTCTCTGTACAATGAATAAAAACGAATGCGTGATTATTATGTTTTATTTGTGGGAAGTTCAATGAGGAAAGTTATCGAGGTCTGAATGCTGGTGAATCGAATTAAAACGGGGGGTGGGGTAGGGGGCGGATTATGGGGCTGTTATCGCATATTAAACCGCATTCCTTGCCAATTTTAGGTATTTCGGGGCAAGGCCAACCAAATAACAATCAAGGCAGCTGCAACCCCATGGGTTTGGGCTTGAATTTGGGCGGGCTACCTGTCAATCCTGCTCTGGTGGCGGCCGCCTTGAACCAAGCGAGCTGGGGCCTCATTAACAATCTACAGAACCAATCCGAGCCCAATTTCAACCAGAATTTCAGCAACGGACCGCCGGGCAACAATAACGGCAACGGTAAGGTGACAATATGTAAGGGGCGGTTCTGACGGCATTCGCGACAGGCGGTCTCGGCAATAGGGGGAATCCCAACGGGGGCGGCAGCGGGCAGGGTCCCGGATTTTTGAACTGGATGCCTCAGGGAACGGGCGGCGCCAGTCAGGACGGCGGTCAGTGGCCGGCCAGGCCCAAACACGAGAAGAACTTTGCGCAGTATGAGTCTGGCTTTTAATGTGTTCACGGGTGAGTTTACTCTTTTTTTTTAACTCCGGGGAAAAGTCTGATTCAGTTTATAATCTTGGACAAATATTCGGTGTTTTTTTTAAGCTATGGATTTGAAAAACATTTAATATTTGACCTTTGTGGATCCGTTGGGGGGTTAGATTTAGGTTAAAATTATTTAAAATTTGTCGTAAAAATTGAAGTATTTTTAATTAATTTAATTTAATTAATTGAATACATAATTAAAATTTGTCGTAAAAATTAAAATAATTAATTAATTTTAATTTAATTAATTTATTAATTTAATTTTTAATTTGTGTCAACTTGTATCAAAAAGTTTATTATTTTATTGGTACCCCGTCAGCCAAGTTTACTAACTCTTGCCCCACCACAATTTCTTTTTAAATAAAATATTCAGGATGCCCCTTATTCTTTTATTTGAAGATTTATACATTTTTTGGTGTCCAACATTATCCATTGCTTTTTTTTTATTTAAGATTATAGATCCAAAACCCTCAGTTCTACATTTGGTTAAAAATTGTAAAGATTGTGGAAAGTACTAAAATCTTCTTTAATAAATCGAAGTTTGTCAGAATCTAATTTCAATTTAATCGTCTTAGTTTTGCTTAGTTTAAAAATCCGAATATATGTTATTATCATATAAAATTTACTACTTGTTGGCCTGCCTATTAAACGTTTAAGTATTTGGTTTGTTGTTTTAGGCTTTCGTCTATCATTTAATTGCGCTTGCTTAGCACTTGTCAAAAGGATGTGGGAAGAGTATCTAGAAAAAGGTGAAAAATTTTGTTGTATATAGTTTTAGTTTTGTTATGAAAAATGGTCGGATCCCGAGCAAATCCGAAACGATTATTTAATCAAATTATTGCCACTGCTGTTGTCTCGATTGGTTCGCGTCCGACCAATTTTGTATAAGATGTATTTATATTTTATGAGTGTTCTAGATTAAAGGGAATTTGGAAGAATGGAGGTAGTTGTATGTTAGTGGTTTGGTAAATATTTAGGTTTTCTTAGGTGTATATGTCAAGAATCGTAGTAATTCGTTGAAAAATTATACGCGAAAGATTGATTGAAACGTGATTCTTTCCCTATTCAAATTGTGACGTTTGTGAATGGCGTTTTGTGTGGGCTGTACAGCAATTCTGCAAGGCTCTATATCTTGGTACGTATGTTGACTCCAGCCAAAGACACTAAACCACAGGAGGAAGGGATCCAACACTTCACTTTCAGGAATAATTTAACCCGCTTACCTGGCAACACATTTTTCTAGATTTCTAAGGTTTCCCTTGAAGCTGAATTTCAGTTGTCGGGTTTTTAGACGGTTTTTCTAATTTACGTTTTGCTTAACTTGTCACCGCCGAACCAGTCTTGTTTATTGTCAATATTACTTGTGTATTCTGTGGTTCCGGCTGATTGGACATCCTTAATACTGTGGTTAAGTGACTTTTATCCCTACCAATTGATGGTCAAAACTTGCTTTTGTGTGCCGTTTTGAAGTATTTTCTAGTTTATTAAATCGTTAAAAAGTTGAAAAAATATGTTGCCATCAATTGGTTTGCCTTCGCAAATCTTGTTTGAAAGTAATTTTTCTTTCGTTTCGGTGTGGAAAGTCGAAGAATTTGTTTAAGGAAACCTTTACCTCTTTGTTGTATTTAGGCAGCGAATAAGAGAGAGAGATAAAAGAAGGGGGAAAGGAGAAAAGAAAACGCCACCCAATTTAACGAATGAAGATTTATATTAATAAAGTTTTGTTTGTAAAATAAAATGTCTGTAGTTTTTTAACAGGTGTTTTACTTAACCGATATACAAAAATTTTTCAAATAGCAGAAAACATTACCCCACTTTGAAATGTTTTAACTATGAGCTAAAGTCTTGGCTTGATAAACAACTAACCAAAACTAAATACAAGGCACCATTGCGTTAAATAAGGCCGTCAACTTCCACCTTTACGTTGGAACTAATTTCTTCACTCTCCGTAAAGTAATCATCAGAATCGTCAGACAATTGGGATTCGGCTTTGATCACTATCAATTCGGTCTTAATTTCTTCCTAAAACGGGTTACGCCATTGCACAAACGAAAATTGAGGTTACGTACGGTTCAACCTCTTTTATGTCAGGGTCACAAAGGGCAATGTGCTGTTGAAATGCGTTGGCATTAAAGAACCATTTCCTACAGTTGTGACACGTCACCCTTTTCTAAAATATGCCAAGATTTCTCGAAAAGCACGACTTTAACGAATTACCAAATCAAAATCTACCTTTGTTACTGGTGACCCGCAAATAGGCAAGTGCTTTTCTAAAGCGCTTTGCGTGTAGTAACTTCTACCGCACTGGAAACACGTTAGTTTTCTGCTCACGTCGTGAGACATCATGTGAATTTTGAGGTTATATTTTGTCGACAGTATCTTCCCGCATTCCTGACACCTTGTGGAAACATAATCAATACTAATTAAACAACTGGATCTACTATTTACTTGGTTTCTGTGGTGCCGTCTGAATGTGTGCCCATATGCATATTTAAAGCATAACTCTGAGCAAATTTCTTATTGCAAACTGGACACTCGAAGGGCCGCTCTTTCGTGTGCGACCTGAGATGCACTTTGAGAGTGGTTTTGTCCCTACACCTTTTATTACAGAGGTGGCATTCGATAAGAGATAAATGGCTGTAAATGTGCTTTCTCAGATCCTTGATTGTAAAGGTATTATCTTCAAAAAGACATTAAATATAGAAATCAACTATTTTTTTAGAGTTCGTATACTAACTGCACGTGGAGCATACACAGGAGTCACCAAAAGGTCCTTTATGATACACAACATCACGGATACGATTTTTGCAACCTAAACAATCCTGGCATGTATACCTTTTACGATATGAAGACCTTTGCTTAACTCTTTGTTGTAAAGAACATGTAGTACTTTTATCACTCTGTTCTGAAACCTGTCTCTATGGAAGAAATAATGGATGCTATATAATTTTATTACCTTTAATGAATTTGTGATTATTGTTATTGTCACTATGCTGGCTTGAGTGTGTTTCGCTACTTATGAAACTCATTATATCAATTTCCTCTATACAATATTTTCTCGAATAAGACTTCAGTTTTTTCTCGTTTTTAACACACATCCTTTTAAAGTGATAAGCGTCTCTTAAGTATTTTTTGCATTTTCCGCAAATGACCGGATCTGCTACGATCGTCATATTCTAAAAACTGTTTAATAACAAGCAAAACAGAAAAAATCAGATAAATTACCCAATCCGGAAAACAGTATATTAACATTTTTACAATACGTAATCCCTCTTCTGATGCTTCCAGCAAGCTTTTGCAATCTTGCGAGTTCTGTTTCTTTAGACACACACGGCAAACGACGATTGTTGCCATGACTAATTTAAATAAAATTAAAAATTAAACTTAAAAACCTAGTCTTTTAAAACGATTTTACATAAGATATTATTTTAACCTTTGCGACTAAGTCATAGACCGTAGAAATATCTTTCAACACAAATCGCGATGACGTCATAACAATTAAAAGTAAATTTCAATGTTTTGCAAGGAAAGGTTTATTCCATTGGCAATAATATGAAAAAGAATAATCCGAATATTTCGGTGGTCTGTGGATATTTTATAAGTTTGCGGTCAGGTTTTTAGCTCTAAATTATATACGCCGAACGTAATACGTCCTTGAATATCGAAATCGGCAAATTCTTCATTGGCAAATGACAATAATTCTACAATTCTGTCACTTATGTTGCAACATATGACGTCAACTATCGTTATAACGGTATAAACTGCAGAATTCCTAAATAAAATCCTAACGAATACTTGACAAAAAAACTAGATTTTAAGTGAGAAACGATATATTTTTAACAAATATAAATTTAACTTTACCACTTAACCTTAAAATAATTTTTGTCTCTAAAAATATAGGTTAATGAACGTCTTCGAACCTAAACAAACATTTTTAATTAAATGTGTAGCACAGGATTAAAATAGTACAAAACGCGACAACAAAGCCTATAATAATGGAATCTCGCCTTTTTCTAATATTAATTCTACTGATCAGGCTATTTATTATTGGGTACTTATTTGAAATGTCATTGAATCTGGTCTGTAACTTCTTTAGAGTTTGTCTTTGGCCTGTTAAATGCTCTCGAGTCTCCATTGCAATAGCAATCTGCTCATTAACCAAATGATCAGAGCTAAAACCCAATAATATAGAAATTAATTTACAGGAGATAATAGCCATTACACACTTAATAATGTGCTGATTTTCTTTCAGGTATATATCTCTGCGGTTATTAATTCCGTCTGTTCTGTAACTGCTATCACTCGAGCCCCGCAAAAGGTCTTCCCTCTCCCTACGACTTTCATGCTGTGAATTAATCTTCTTAAAATCTCTTGATAAATCAGCTAGAATTTCTCGATGCCTCTGGATAGTGTGAAGCATTGCTCCTCCAGAGACGGGTTGCTCTGATAATCTCTCATTAACTTGAGATAGCTAGAAATATTTTTAAGGAGTAACAATTAAATAAAGTTGTTTTAAAGCAAACTTTGTTGAGCAGTTGTTCAATTTCCGCGGACATGGCCTCGAAAGTATTCTCCTCCGATAAAAGGGGCACCGTATCCGCATGACCACCGTGCGGAGTTTTAATTCCAGCCTCTAGTTTGCTGAATGCTACTAGTTTAAGATCGATCTCGTTTTCGAGATGCCTGGCTTGCTTACGCAAATCTAATGTTAACGTATGCCTCATTATTTCACATTAATGTGCTGACAAATAAATACATACCCGTATAAGATAAAGCAGCTGCCATTTTAAGTGATGGTTTTAATTTGCAGATTTCATTTGTTGACAACACACAGTACACACGCTGGCACTGGTAAGACAACATTCCCATATTATGAAATTAATATTCTCTGAGGTTCTCTGAATACATGGTATTTCTAACCTTACCATTTACATATTCCGTGGTTAACGGTTCAGCTGCCATTTGAAAATTTGCCTTTGTTGTAGGACGGAACCGGTTTTTGTTGGCGGACATGCAGCCGTGTAAAAGCGATTCCTTTAGGTTCCATAGAAATACAGAAGCAACGTCGTCCGGTTCTTCAACAGAAAGTTCAAGCGGTCAGCGTTGTAGAAGGAGGCTTAGAGAAAAATTCGATGAGTCTAGGACTCAAGGGACTAGGGCTGGTGAGAGAAGGGTGCTTTCGGTTCTATCTTTAAATGATAATACTCGACGGGTTTTGAGAAGCAGCGCCGAGAGGTTGAGTAAAACGTTCAATTCTGTTAGAACTACCCTCGGTACACTCTCGCAGGTAAGGAATTGTTATTTAAAACAAAATAGATCAGTACTTTGGAATTTTGTCACTTCTAGCGATTTAAAACATCTACCAAACGGAGGCAGATCCTTCAAGAAGGACCAATGACTCCAAACCCTCAAACGCCTTATAGTTTTTCAAAACAAATATTAGGCAGAACCCCTACCAAACTTTACAGCCCATTTGGTATTGATAGCCCATATAATAATGCGACTACTATAGATAAAGAAAATTTACATCCAAATTCATTGTCTTTAATCAAATTGCGCCAGTAGGGAATTGGGTAAATTGAAATGGTATTGTTAGTTACTTAAGTATTTATTGGAACTGTTTGTGATGTTTTTTATTATGAAAAGCATCTTTATATTCACTTCTAAGTTTCCAATGTATTTATTTTGTTTAGTATGTAATGAAATCAATGGGAGATTAGTACAAGTTTAACTATTGTCTTTTTGAATGGAAAGTGTTAGATTGTGTAAAAAAAATTGGGTTTTTTTCCTGTGAGATTTTTTTGTTGAATAAATTTTCCAAAAATTACTTTTCCAGTGTTTTATTATGACTTAGGCACATATATTATAAAATCCGTTCCACTAAGAACTCTTTTTTGTAGTCTACTTTACGACAACACAAGGCATATATTATTATACAGAATATAATAAAAACTAAAATGTAACTGCACCACATTAAGTGTACATAAATCATTACTCTCACATCCTGAAAAAGAAATTGCTTATTTAGTTATTCACATATTTTTACAATACACTTACATCATTTAAATAATTTGCTATATCATTTTGTTCTAAGCTGAAATGTAGACCTTGAGATTCTCCATTTCTGCAAAAATCTTGGTCGACCTTCCCACCTGGTTTTGAGGATATGTACCCTTTATTTACCTAATAAAAGACTCATTTCAATTGAATTTTGAGCAATTAAACTTTTAGTTTACCTTTGAACTTTTTCCCTCATATGGTTTACAGTTTGCTTCCACAAATTGAGGCAAATACTCAGCTGGTCCCACAATTGTAGCGCAGATGTCGGAACTCGTGTTTTGCTTAGTTAAAGGTGGAAGAGAAAATACAATTTTAAGACTTTGTGGTTGGATTTCAGAATTTTTGCAAGATACAAAGTGAAATCCTACAATCAGAAATACTGCAAAAGCAAACAACATTTTTAAACCTATAATACCTTCAAGTGTCAAAAACCCCTCAATCTCAGAGTACTGGCTCCAAATTTCTGGATTCTCCAGATTAATTAAAGTAAAAACAGAAATTTCTTTATCTGAATTTGTTTCACTTTGGGTCCAGGTTTTCTTTTGTAAGCATGTGTCCAACTTATTAAAAGATTTAAGCATCTGTAGCCAGTCGTGTTTCTTATCACTATCTGCAGTTGCTCCATCATCCTGTATCTCGAATGCATAGTAGAAAGTAGACACAGCCAAGGCTACCAAACATAGCAAAACTACTATTAACGGAGGCTTGTTTTTTAAAAAATCTGTTAAATTATAAATAGGAGACCAAACCATGACGAAAAATGAGAAATTAAAAACGCTTTTTTATGTTTACCTTACATTACATTCAAAATATTTACATTTTGGTAATGTAAGGTTAGATTATTCATCTTCTTCTCTTCATCTTTATTGGCCAATATGCTACTACAATAAGTTGGCTATAGACATGAATTATTTAAGGGTGCATCTGTAAATAAGTTTAAGAAGAAAAAGGTTATGTATTAGGGCAGTTCGAATAAAAAGCCGCAGTGCTTCATTTCGTTATTTGTGTTATTTGATAATGTGAAAGCATTAACTTTAACGCAGTGTGGTTAAAATGGCTAACGGACCAATAGCAGAACGTAATAGAGATGCCACGATATATGTTGGTGGCTTGGACGACAAGGTTTCCGAGTCTTTGCTGTGGGAATTGTTTGTGCAAGCGGGTCCTTTGGTGAATGTACACATGCCGAAAGACCGAGTGACTATGATGCATCAAGGATACGGCTTTGTCGAATTTATGGGCGAAGAAGACGCCGACTATGCTATTAAAATAATGAACATGATAAAACTGTATGGTAAACCAATCCGTGTCAACAAGGCTTCAGCGCATCAGAAAAATTTAGATGTGGGTGCGAACATATTCATAGGTAACTTGGACCCGGAAGTGGATGAGAAGCTTCTGTATGATACCTTCTCTGCCTTTGGGGTTATACTTCAAACACCAAAAATTATGAGAGATCCCGACACTGGTAACTCCAAGGGTTTCGCTTTCATCAATTTTGCAAGCTTCGAAGCTTCCGACGCTTCCATTGAGGCAATGAATGGGCAGTATTTATGCAATAGACCAATATCAGTGTCCTACGCTTTCAAAAAGGATTCCAAAGGCGAGAGGCACGGATCGGCAGCCGAGCGACTCTTAGCAGCTCAAAATCCATTGTCCCAAGCAGATAGGCCACATCAACTATTCGCAGATGCACCCCCAATGGGTATGATGCCTCCAGGCATGGCTTTGGCACCGCCGCCACCTCCAGTTATTCTTGGTGGAATGTTACCCCCACCACCACCAAATCCAGGAAATATGCAACCACCTCCGCCTCCACCAGTACCGCCACCGTCATCGTTTCCGGCGGGAATTCCACCTCCACCGTTGCCACCATCTCAACCCCCCTTACCCCCTGGTGCTCCACCTCCACCACCAATTTCCGTATCTACCGGAAGTTCGGCTCCGCGTCCTCCGTTGCCTCCAATGCCTCCGACATCTAACTCCGGTTCGGGACCTCCGCCTCCGAGAATGATGCCGCCCCCTCCGCCATGGCAAGGTGGGAGCTTGCCTCCGGGACCTCCAGGTTCCGCGTCAGCTACAAGCGGTACGCCGTTCCCGGGAATGTTTCCGCCTCCTCCTCCACCGGGAGGAAGACCTCCACCTCCAAATTGGAGACCGCCGCCGCCTCCGAATTTCAGTGGGAGGCCGCCGTTCCCGCCCAGAGGACCACCGCCACCTCCGCCTTCTTTCGATTAAGGCTTGAGAAATTATTTTGAATTATTGTGTCACTGAATTTTAAATAAATGTTTTGATGCATGTACGTAATGAGTAAATTAACAAAATCGACCTGATTTAAAAAATAATTCATTTGATTTATAAATTAAATGAAATGAAAAGCTAAAGCGGGCCATCCACCAAACGGAAAATCACGTTTAGGGGCGAAAAGAAAACTAAAAGGATGCGTTGAATAAAAAACACATTTCTTTCAAGAATCAACCGACATGTGTAGAGGAAAAGATTTTCTTATTCTTTGTTGTGGCTAGTTTATACTGCGATACTTTTAATAAAAACATAGTTTTAATGAAACATACATTTTTTGCTCGCCAGCAATCTCTATTAAATTTATTCATGATTTTAGGATCAATTTCCTGTCTATAAAAATACTTTATTGCACTATATTTACCTACTAGTCTCAAAAAAAATTGTATTCAATTTTTCAAACTTATGAGTCGAAAAAAGAAAAGAACCGTTTTTATTATATAGCCTTTTGATTTTATCGCTTCCGAAAATCAAAACAGGAGCTGTCGTAAAACACGGCATTCTTCAAAAGGCTAATGAAAGGTTGAGGTTTTGTTTTATTCGCCACGAGTGTTTTGTTTGATCCGATTAGAGGAAAACCGGTATAACATAACATAATTTTAAAATTACCTGTATTTTCAAATGTTTATTTTTCTTTTTCAAATATCTATAGAAAGTATTCTCACTCCCGCCATTCCATTCTCCGACTTCCGGTACAATTGCCTGTCATTTGTCTGTCAGTTTAAAATAAGGCGCGAACATAAACACGTTATGTAAAAAAGGATTCATCACAATTGTACATTTTCATTTACGTTATCTGAACAACTTAGTGAACTGGAGTTCAACAAATCAGTCTTTTTTAAACCTTCATCGATTTGGTTTAAATAAAAAATTCTGTATAAACGTGTTTAAATAGCGTCCAGCTTTAACTTTTTTCCACATAATCACTGTAAGTAGGAAAATAAAATGGAGATTAACTTTGCTTAAATACATTTTGCAACAATTTATAATGTTGCTATTTTCCTCTAAGTAGGCAGTTGTGGAATGTTGGAATATTTTATTTGAATGTAATGTAAATATGCAACTTTCAACCAATTTATGAATGGTTGTATTTGCCATGTCAAAAACAAAAAAATGGCAATTTTTCAAATTCATATTAGAATTTAAACTTTAAACGCCCTGTATCTCCAACGGTCCTAATAGTTTGGTGTCTAGTATCTCCACTTAAGAGGTTGACCATTTTTTAATAACCACCCTGCATATTTTGACATTTTGAAGCTTTTACGGGTATTCTAGCGTAAATTATAAACCTTATTTGAATAATTCCAATGTTATCAAATTATTTGAAAGTGCTTTGATGTTATACCTAAACTACGGTACGAGAATTCAATAAGTTCCTGTTAGTGTAAAGCCAAAAATAGACTAATGCCAAAACGGATTTACCCAGGAATTATAAACGCCGACGGACAAACAAATTCCTAGAAAAAATCGTACCTAATCTTGTTTGGTCCATTTATTTATTGACCCATCCTTCGTCGTTGATAAGCCGGTTAAAGATTACAACCTTACAACATATTGCCGTTTGTTTGGAGCTCTTCCGATTTGTAAATAATGTTTGTGTAATTCTCCGCGACGACGGACATGTTGACAGCCATGCGGGCAGTCGGGGGGTTGTTTTTCTGTGCGTGCTTCGTTCAAATCAATTCCGTAAGTGAGTCAGAAATTTTCATATAGCTATTAGTTAATAGAGTTCCCGGTAAAAATTGATATTTTCATAAAGAAGGGAATGATTTTTCTGCACATTCACCCACTGACCTGCCCTATGCGCCATTTCGTTTCTAAACACTCGCACTTAACTCGTTTTCCCAGAAAATTTAACGACGTCTAGGTATATTTTGAGAAAAATGCCGCAAGGTCATGCGCATGTTGAATGGACCTGCTCAATTTTTTTCATAGTTGCTTCATAAGTTCCTATATTATCGGCATTTCCTAGGCATGGCCTCTATATCTCTAGTAGCTATATGTAATTTTTCCATAGCGTTATCAAGTTGGCTACACGCATTTAGTTATTCACACGAGTGTAGTCGCAATGATTTCTGCATCGTTTGCGCGAAATATATCACAAATAACGTCACTCAAACGAACAACTATTACGAATATTACAAGTAATACAGGGTGATTTTTTTTATTATTTTATGAAGAAAACTTCATACGAACGTATGTTTTGAACGTCGTAACATTGGCGGTATTTTTCTAATAAGCTATTTTTTAATATTGTCAGAGTGACGACCTTAATGATTAAGTTATAAAATAGAACTTTCTATACTCAATTTCCTAATGCAAGAGAGTTGTAAATAAAACTGTAAAACTTAGCGGTATTCCACAGTATTGTATATTTTTCCTAACAATATATCGTTTTTACAACCTTTTATGATTTTGATGTCGGAATGAGTTTAAGACCCGCCTGTTGGAATGCGGAAGGGACCATTATTTTCAGCAGGTTTACCACAAGCCAGGACCGTATTTAAGAGGATAGCCGACAAGAACTGTGACGTACGCACTGTTGTATTTTAAGAGTAGGGAAACTTCCTTTGATTAAACTGTTACATCAATTCAAATAAGTGTGCTTTTTATAAATCTTCCCAAAACAGTCCCTACTTCAGGTAGCTCGATTTCAAGTTGAATTTGCCTATTAGATAGGGTGATCTCCTATATTAATTCACATTAGGAACCTTAAACTGTTTTCCATTTTAAGTGTTGAACATAATGAATCTAAAATATATGGGGACAGCTGAAACCCAGTTTAAGAAGAAACGACTCCTTGCCGAAAAAAAATAAATAATCGGGAAATCTCACCGATAAAACTCTGCATCAAAATTTACCAAAGTTACATACCGGATTATGTCGTAAAAATAGTATATCGTTTGGCGAACTCTACCTATGATTATAGTGATGGGTACCGAGAGTGGCAGGTAGATGAAGAGTTAGTCGGGTCTTAGTGTAGATATTAGCAAAGGTATTGCAATTTATTGCTGAGAAATTGATTAGTTTTGGTTAGTTCAGTTAGAAAATTATTAATTTCAATGTATTGAAATCTATTCATCACCAAAGTTCAACATTCGGAGTTTCAATAGTATGCAACCGGTGCGGCAAACGGCATTTGACTCACGAGTTTATTTGACACGAGCGGAGCGAGTGTTTAATAAATAAATTGTAAGGTAAACCTTTATAAGTTTTAAGCTGATTTTGGCTTAAAAAACCAAAGGACTTGTAAATAAAATGGCCAGTGGCTCTAAAACCATCATTAGGTAATATTTTTAGAAATATATTAAATAGTGTCATAAACGACATTTGAGACAAGAATTTATTTGGCACGAGCGGAGCGAGTATTTAATAAACGAGCTACTTAAAAAGTTTACCGAACGTGTTTCTACGACCGCTAGCTTTTAGGTACATTTTTGCAAAACACGAATACATTCCGTGACATGACCGTCAGAATTGACAAAGGTCAAAATTCAAAGCGTGGGAAATATCTCCGAAAACGTCCGATTGCTCCCAAACCTGTGCGGTAAAATCCCGGAAACGTCCGAAGTGGCTCGGATCCGCGGGAAACGGAACTGCCGTGGTAAAGTAACTGACGGTTATGTCAGTGAATGTATTCGTGTTGTTTTGCGAAAATGCACCCAAAAACTAACGGTCGTATGCAATACATTTCTGTAAACTTTTTAAATCACTCGTTTATTAAACACCCGCTCCGCTGAACTCCGCCCGTGTCAGATAAACTCGTGAATCAAATGCCATTTACCGCACTTGTTGCCATTAAACCTACTCGTTTAGCCTTCCGATCGGTTCTGCTATTGTTGTCTCTTTTTAACTGTGTACATCCTACAAAGAGAGGTGTATTATTGGATGTCATACAAACAACGGAATAAACACAATTTTAAAACGTTGTGTTGTTTATTTAATTTTTATAATTGATGATTAAGTAATCATCCCAGGATAGAGCTTTAGAGCTTTTAAGATCTTGTAAGCAAGAAACAGCAGCTCCTAACCTTCAATTTTGTTTTGTTTGTACTGATGACATGGCAAGATATTCATATAAAAACTGCAAAAACCATTAACGCTTATGTGAACGGGATGTAAAATTTCTGTGGGAAACTTAAATTCTAAATGTCACTTTACTTACCGACTAGTCCACTAGATTTTAATTGTAGCTTATAGCACGTAATATGTAAATTGTCTGATATATTGCATAACATTATTCTGTGTATTAGTTTTTGGGTACATTTTTGCGAATTAACACGAATATTGACAGGAGCGTCAGAATTGACAAACGTCAAAATTTAAACCGTGCGGTAAAATCTCCGAAAACATCCGATTGCGCCCAAACCCGGGCGGTTAATTCCCGGAAATGTCCGAAGCGGCTCGGATCCGTGAGAAACGAAACCGACGTGGTAAAGTGACGCTTCCCGCACTCTAGATCGGTGTGTAAATAGGCATTTTACAGAGGGGAGTAGAAAAAGTTTATTATATGTGTGTGTGTGTTCGTATTTCTTTTTAATGTGATGTTTTAAAATTACGTTATGTTAAAGTACGTTAAGATATTATTGTTATGTTATGTTTGACTGGATCTGCACCTTAACTATGAACTACCAATCTATCTATGTCCGTTTGCTGGGCACTGGTTATTTTTCATTCACGTTTGGATGATCTCCAAGTAGTACGCACGGACACATTAACTTAAAATGTCTGTTAAATCAAGGCAGTCCAAGCACCGGATCCAAGCGCGAATTCTGAAACTGTTCTCGCCAAACTTTTTTTTAAATCCGCATAATATTTGCTGTTTTAGATATTCGATCCTCACGCGTTGGAACCGGAACCTCGTCCGTACACTAGAGGAATAAGGACGTACAATGGAAAAGTCCAGACAGTCCCGCTATATCACCAGAACTACAGCAAAGTGTTCGTGCATAACAAAAACTACACTTCGAGCTTATTGGACCATCCACCTTCTGGCTCCGTCAAGCTCTATCCGGTGTATAACGCGTCTAAAATTGCCTCAAAACTCGACGAGGTCTTGGAGGAACATAATTCGAACATCGTCGAGAAGGACAAGCTCAACGAGAGGGTGGTGTATAAAAGGAGGATCGAGAAAACCAAACAGATCGAGGTCTACAACAAGTAAGTTTTATATGGAGACTGTTAAAAAAAAATGAAAATACGTTTCGAACGCCTTAAACTTTAACATACAGGATGGTAAAGTTTTAAGAAAAAAATACTGTTTTTGTATTATCTAAAAGAACAACTTGCGTTCATAGAAATCGGCCCATTGTGAACTTTTGACTTCATTTTCATGTTTCTTTTTAGAAATTACTGATCTGATAAAAAAATATATGCTGTTTGACAAATTAACATGGTTTAATACGAGTTTAAATTGATTAAAATTTATTTCTGCTTTTTATGTTTAGCATAGTAAAAAATAATTGCACGAGTCAAATTAACTTTTTTTATTAGCAAAAACAAAGAAGTAAATTGACAATGAGCAACTCAACGATTATTTTATAATCATTTACTCGATTGGGCATAGATCTAATCACGTTCGCTATTGTTTCTTGTGGAATGTTGATCCACTCTTCCTCTCCTGCAACAATAAGCTCTGGGATCGATGTTGGGGTACGAAATCTAGTTCGAATTGACCGTTATAGCTCATCCCATAAATGTTCGATCGGATTGAGGTCGGGACTGCGTGCTGGCCACTCCGTAATTCAAAAACCGATTTCTGTAATGTAATCTTGCGGTGTCCGGCCTAGCATTGTCACGCATAAAAATGAATTGAATGAATTCTGTAGTCGACATAAGGACTTCGTTCTTCATTGCTGCATTTTGCAAAACGCTCTCCTGGTCTTCGGTATACTTTTTTTCGTCAGTCACTACCAAAAAGGCATATAACACAATTAAACGCTATTCAAATGTTTAAAAGTCTTTAAAGTCTATACAAAGTTTGTTACTATCACTGTAACTATTACATGAACCGTATCTACACATTCTTGACAAATTCAAACTCATACTAAAGCACATTAAATTGTTTTCCAAATAGCATATTCCTTTTTTGAATCAGATGAATAGTTTCTGGAAAAAAATGCATTAAAGTCAAAAATTTACGGCGGGCCGATTTCTACGCAAGTTTATCTTTGTGAAAATAGGTAATTACTTTCCGTGAATCAGGAGATAATTTCAACTGCATTTTTTGGACAAATATATTCTATTGATAGTCTAATCATCTGAAGATGCACTGTTCTTGATGAGAATAATATAATTAAAAGCGATACAATACATACTTGTTAACAAACTTCACATGTATGGCTTAAATTTATTAACTTGGACTGATATTAACTAATTTATTATAAAATTTGTTAGAAAATGGCCACCTTTCACGTAACATGGGATCCAAGTAATTGATCTATTGGGTTAGTAATGATTTCTGTCCAGGCATTTAGTTTTGTCTTTCAAATGATTATTAAGGAAATTTTATTTGCATGTGTACATAATTAATGAAATGGTGTAATATTCTGTGGGTACTACTGAAGTAACGTCTATAATTTGGGAACATGGTTCCCTTTCTATCTCCTTTTGTAATACGCACCATCTATTACCCTCCTTTACCTTTATTAAAACTCGTCGTTGGTAAATATTAGAACAAGTTCGTCTATCTGGTTGCACACGATTCGGAATTCTTGAGAAAACAAAAAAAAACTGAACGGAACATTGAAAATAGGTTTGGAGATGAACAATATCTTAAATTAACTAAAAGTGATTTAACAGTGACCTTTAAAAACTGTAATTTCTCTCATCCCAACTAGATTATTGTATCTTTATCTTTGACAAGAAAAACGGTGAAAATAAAGAAAAGGATTGGATACCTAAAAATATCCCTTGATACCCCACGATGCATTTACCAAATTTCAAAATCGTTTCTTAGGTAATACAATTTTTTTTTCTAAAATTGTATCTCGTGTATCTCGAAATTTAAGACGTTTCGAATATACGTCCACTTGAAGCCTTTTTCTTAAATTGAGCTCGGGGATTATCCCCTGCAGTATAAACACACCATGAAAGAAACCATGTGTATTAAAAAAACAAAAAATAAAGACTACATTCAGAGACATTCTCTCTCTACCGAATCATTGCCTATCTACTTTCAACAATTCTCAAGAGGTTTGTGGATTTTTTTTATTGTAACAATATTTTGGTTTATTATGGCTTGCCTTCTTGTAATTAACACTACATTTCTTTAAAAGAGATAATGGGAGAACCCAAATCCCATGCGATTTTCCTTTCATATCAGGTGCCCCAAAGGTACGACCGGCCAATTCGTCTACGACCTTTCGTGCAACCAATACTTGGATTGCTGGCAAGGCAGAGGAGGACCGAGAACCTGCGCCCCCGGCACCCTGTTCAACCCGAAAACTCTAGAGTGCGATTTTCCCGACAAAGTCGAGTGCATCACGGGTCCCGAAAGGAGCGTCGTGCAGAGGTCCGCGAAAATCCAAGTGGAGCAACAGCCCGGATGTCCCGAAGGATTTACCGGACTCATTCCCAACTACACCGACTGCTCCAAGTTCGTTCAATGCAATAACGGCCAGTCGGTCTCTAGCGAGTGCCCGCCTGGCACCTTTTTCGATGTAACGCAAAACATTTGTAACTTTCCGGACCATTGCGTCTGTTTCTCCAATAGACCACCACCACGATATGGTCCTAGCAAAACTGATTCAACTCAGGTATCGAGTAATCCCCAGGCCACGAGAACTGATGCAGGATGTGATCCGAGCACCGGTCTTTGCCAGGGTCGATATTACCAGCCAACATACGACCGAGGTTATGAGGGTGGATACCAACAGGCATCAGGCATCCAAGCCAACGCCATGCGCGTGGTGGGAGCCTCTAGTGATGGGCGATGGGTGTACTACTACCCCCAAAATGTAGGAGGCCATCCAGCTCAACCAACACCTACGCAACTCAATACTGATTCGTCCCAGCTGAGATACGTCATATGCGATCCCAACACTGAAGACTGTTCTCCATTTTATGCTGCCAATGTGGTTTTGATCGGTACTTGCGACCCTCAGATCCAAAATTGCGGCACCAGTGCCACAACGAGATACGGAACGTTGCAAGCGAACCCGCAACAGATCTGCAACCCCCAGTTTCAGAATTGCAGGCAATTTATCAACAGTTTTCGACCTGGTCGCGGTCCAACGCAGACGTCATATTTCCAACCGGCTACTAATTATAATAGCATCTGCAATATTAACGATAAAAATTGCAACAAGGCCGCTCCGTCTGCTATTGGAGCTCAAAGTCAAACTCCTGGTCAGCATCAAGGCCAACCCGCTACCCCCTACCGAAATCAACCTGGTGTTCAATACCAAGCTCGGCCAGGTATCTATTATCAAGGACAACCTAGCACCCAAAGCTCAGGTGTTTACTATCAAGGGCAACCTAGTACCCAATATCAAACGCAGCCCGGTAGTCGTTTTAGTACTCAGCACCAAGGTCAACCCGGTACCCACTCTCACGCCTACGCCGGAAGACAAGGTGCGAAGCCCAAATGTCCTGCCGGCTTCCAAGGTATCACCAAACACCCGACAGATTGCAAACGATTTTTAAACTGCGCCAATGGGATAACTTACGTACAAGCCTGCGGTCCCGGCACACTTTTTAATGCGTTGCACAATATTTGCGATCATCCCGAGAACGTTGACTGTGAGGAAAGCGCTACCGAAGATACGGATGTACCTACGGAACCACCGTACGCTGGAGGGGACGCGTATCAGCAAATCTATCCACAGAATCGGCAACAACCTGTCGATTGCCAGGGTTATAATTGTCCAGGACACAATCAGAAACCTCAACAGACTGTTTACAACCAAGGCCAGCCCTACGAAGGTCAGGATCGGTGGATAACTGGACAAGTTCCATTCCCCGCGCAGGGAAGAGGTAATCAAAATGGTTGTCAAGGTAACCAGTGCAGCGGCACTCCAGGGCAGCAAATTCCCGGTCAGCATCAATTTATTGGTTACGGAAATTCCCAGACGAACCCTCCCATTCAGCCGTACGAAGGTCAAGGTCAGTGGATAGCTGGAGGAGGTAAGCGAGTCAGTATTCCTATTGTCAACGATTACGAGTCAGGATTTCAGGTAACCAAGGTGATTGCCAAGGCAATCGGTGCAGAGAGGCACAAGGACAGCTAATTCCTGATCAGCACCAACTCACTGGTTACGCAAGTTTCCAGACGACTCCCCCTCCTCAGCATGGAGTATCCGGACAGATCCCGGTTTACGTCCAAGAAGTTCCTACCAACAATGTGGGCTACCAAGTGGTTCGACCGATCAATAAACATGATCGACTGACATTCGAAGGCTTCTCCAATCAGAAATCTTCCGATTACGTCGACATATTTGACCCCAACGAAAGTCGGAACGTAGTCTCAGCAGGAACCACTTTGAAATCAATAGGGAACGCCCGCAATCACCCTGTCCCCGATTCGGATACTGATTACGTTTTTGAGTACGAAGATGGCGAAAGGGTGACGTTGGCACCCGAGAAAGTGGTCATTGGGAAACGGAAGAAGTCTAAGTGCGAGAAGGGTGATTTTAAATGCGGTTCAAAAGCTTGTGTCACCAAGAGCTTGGTGTGCGACGGCATCAAGGTAAGTTGCAGTGGGCTATGGAGATTGACGTTTTGGTAGCGGATCGGGGTTCGCAGGACTGCGACGATGGCAAAGACGAAAGAGGCTGCGACGGATACCTTAACCAATTCAAGGCCCGGAAGAACTCCAGGCTGAGCGTTTTGGAGAAGCAACGCTGGGACAACGTGAGTCAAGCGACTTGCGCGTTCTTGTGCTTGGAGACGGACAAGTTTGAATGCAAATCGTTTAATTACAGGTAAAGGAATAATTTTTAGTTAATTTTCGTTTACATGTTGGTGCAGCATTAATTGTTTTTAAATGTTGATTCTCTCGATAAAGATATAAATTTCGTATTACACTGTGTAGATTTCAACCTTCAAAGAACTATTTTAATAGTAATGTAAATAATTTTTTTAAATCCACATTTATAAACTTTAATGAAAGTTAAAAATGATAACCTATTTTTAATTGAATTCTAAATTCAAACAAAAGAGATTATAGCGAGAATATAGGTCTTTGCAATATGTAGTTTTGAAACTAAATCTTTTCATTTTCATTGATTCATTACCTGTTTAAATATCACGTTTTATGCTCACATTTTCTGTTCATTAGTTAAAAACTTAGTTATTAATAATAATATCACAAATATTTAAAACAGAATTGTTCAACAACTGATGACGATTCTTCACAATACCTTTTGACTTCTTCAAAATGTTGTATATAATTATTGTTTACTGTTCTTACTTTTAGGGTGGATGGAGCAAAAACTACCAGTCGTAGAAAAAGTATAGTATGCAACACGTTTGGTAAACTTTTTAAGTTAAATTTTAAGTTTACTTGTTGCATAATATACTGTTTAATATTTATCTAAAAATATTACCTAATGATGATTTTAGAGTCACTGTCCTTCCGTTTTTTAAACCAAAATCAGCTTAAAACTTATAAAGGCTTAGTTTACAATTCTAAAATAAGAATAAATGGAAAATGGTTGTAGCTTATGATGCAAAAGAGTAATAAACTTTTGAAGGCTGTATCGTAAATTGCAACGATAGTTTTCCGTATTTTAGTTTTTGATACCCACACACCTCGCATCGTTCCTAAATGAGGGTCACATTAATTTCCATACAATAGAAAGACAATAGGGTTTGGTGAATGAAAGTAATGTGACATCGGGGTTACTGCAGGTAGTTTATTAGAATATTAAATATAATAATAGTTATTCATGACTATAATTACCGATATGAAAGATAATCGAGATATAAATTATTCTAATAAGATCAAGTAAATAAAAACTTACATAGAAATGAAAATCGATAAATTGTAATAAATTTTAAACATTTTTAACTTCATTTGCAAATTTTAGTAATCATATTCCGAGTAGTTACACGAATCATAGTCCTTTAAGTCTACAGATATAATAAGTGTTTTCTAGTGTGTTATCAGCTTCCCACATTCTTTCTTCTATTTTAATCACATATTCGACACACTTACTCCATTTTTCATACTGCTTTTATTACAGTGGCCCACCCTTCCAACTGCCTTGTCATAACAAAAATTCATTTCCTTCAAAGTTTCCCACATGAATGAATTCATCGTCATCATTCCTTTCAAACATTACTTTTCTCAAATTGACAAATCCCAGCCATTTTTGCCAACAACACAACGCAATTTTGCCACAAAATTAGCGTCACAGCAACGAGAAAAACGGGTTGAGTTTTCCATACAATGATGGAAACAATTCAAAAAATGTTTGTTAAATCGAAAAAAATAGCAGACCGTGGGCCTTAGGTGGTCATTGCCACAAGCGATTTCAATTTCAAGGACGGCAAACTGTAAATGTGTGGTGTGCTATTTTAAGCAACAGGATAATACGTCCCCATTTCTTCGACGTTACTTTTCTTCAGAACGAATTAGAATTAAGAAGGTGGCGCGAGCTTCTTTCTCAAAGGCTTCTATAAACATATTCGCGATGACTGGTGATAGTGGAAAACCCATAGCTGTTCCCGACGTTTGTTCAAAAATTTGACCCATATAAGAAAAATAAGTCCCAGACAAGTATTTCTCAATTAAGGGGAGAAGATGAGAAGAAGTACGTCGAAACTAACCAGAATATCTTGGGTATCTAATGTAATGCTTTTTATTTGTTCAATGAAGTGAAAGGAATTTAGTACGAAACTGGCAGTTTTCCCTGTAAGGGGTTTTTAATAAGGAAGTTAGATATTTTGCTAGAGAATATGTTGGAGAACCAATGGTGCTGACAATAGGTCGAAGGGGTAATCCTTTCATGGAATTTTTTAATTTTTAATTTTTTAATGGAATCTGATAGTTCCATAGATGACGTGGGATCTTTTTTAAGTTGACTATATAATCCGTCTGTAAGAACATCTTGAATCTTTTCCTGATATTCATTTATGTTCATGACTACCGTAGCATTTCCTTTATCTGCTTTTGGGATTACGATGTCGGGATTAGATTTTAGAGATTTTAGGGCAATGCGTTCAGGCTTTGCAATATTAGTTTTAGGAGGTTTTGATTTTTTAAGGATTTTTGCGGTTTCAAATCGAATTTCATTAGCTGTTCGAGATGGTAGTTTGTTTAGAATAGACTCAACATTAGAAATGATTTCCTCCATTGGAATAATACGTTTCCGAGATTTGGTGCGATGATACATTTATCACAGTGTATTGTAGTTGAGGAGAGTTTGATGGTTTCCCTAGTGTTGACGTTAGTTTTTCAAATTTCTGAATGTGGTTCTGGGTAGAAGATAAAGGGAGATTTAAAGCTTTGTCATGAATCATGTTTGAAAAGGCATCCAATTGGGATGCGGACCAGATGGAAGCAATTTCAAGATGTTAAGACAGAAGAGTCTTATTGCTTAGGTCTATATCCTTACGGGTATGATGAATTATTTCTCGAAATTAGATTTTCGAAGATTTTTATAAGCGGCCGATGTTGGGGATGACGTTATCCCAGTTTCAGTCGGTGATCTTCTAGCTTTCTGCTTTTCCGCTTGATGTCCTCACCATAAAGGGTTGTTAACTTTTCAAAGAAATTTCCACTGGCTACATACGGTTGTTCAAATAGGCACGTTTTCAGGAAAACGGACAGGGCGTGTTTCCTAACCGAGGAGAACATTGGCAAAACCGGAGCGTTGAAAAGCTACTATCCCTGTGACTACCACGAACGGAAAAGCACTTCCGTCGATTGCTCGGATATGCACAAATGTCCCACGGGAAAATGCCTGACGTCCGACCAGGTCTGCGACGGTTACGACGATTGCGGCGACAGGGCGGACGAGAAAAACTGCAGGCCGTCCGATTTCGGATACGAGGTAACTCTGGCCGGTTCCGACGAAAGTTACGAAGGTCGGGTCGAAGTGACCGTGTTCGGCAAGACTGGATACATCTGCGACGACCAATTTAATTTGAGCGACGCTCACGTGGTATGCCGCGAGTTGGGTTTCAATTTGGGCGCGGCCGAAGTCAAAGGCAATTCGTTTTTCGCTAAAGATTTGCGCGAGAGCAACACGCCCTACATGATGGACGACATCGCGTGTTTGGGCAACGAGACGAGTCTGATGCAGTGCGACTTCGCAGGGTGGGGTATCCATAATTGCGGCGATTACGAGATCGCGGGCGTCGTGTGCAAAACGCCGCAGGAAAAGTGCGGGGACGGTTTTTGGAAATGCGACACGGGCAACGAGTGCGTGAGGATACCGTTCGTGTGCGACGGCCTTTACGATTGCACGGACAATTCGGACGAAGCCGCTCACCATTGCGAAGTAAGTGGGGACTGAAAACTATTTGTTGGTGTGTTTCTCTACGAGGATGGTAATACATTCTTAAAACTACGAACCGATATACACGGTGTTATAAATATAGCGCATTAATTGTTTTGACGTTTTAAGTATTTTACAGTACCTTAAGCGCAGACCTTCGCAGGACTATGGTAGATCTTGCCTGAGATGGACCGTAACGAACGAGGTATTTGAATGTGATCCTTCCAGTAAGTACGTACCTGTATCTCCTCGAGCTTTGACCCTGTGAGGCTGTTTTCACTGGATAGTTCAAAGGGTGAGGGTAAGTTTGAAGAAGACATGGAAAACAAATCAGAATTTGAAGATTAAGTGGAGATGGTAGTCGAACCTAATGACAACCACCTCGGCAAATAAAAAAATGGATCTTGATGTCCTCGGATACTAATTTTCTTATGAACATGTTTCAAGAATTGTTCGACGAGAAAGATGGAAAACGTATTTATATAGCGCTTGTTAGTGAAGGTAGATAAATTTCTAGGACGGTCCTGGAATAATTAGGAGTAAAGGTCTGCTCGGCAGGGTGCAGAAAGATTGTGTTTTTACGAACGTGATAACCTTTACCTACTGTTTATTACTCCAAAGCCCAGCCCCTTATAGACCACCCTGCCAAGCAGACCCTTACCCGTTATCATTCCAGGCCCGTGTTTAGAATTTATCTACCTACACTAACAAGGGAGATATAAGTATCTTTTCAATCTTTTTCGCCGAGCAATTTTTGAAACAGGTAAATAAAAAAATGTACAAAGCAACAATTTATTACGTTCTATTTCAATACATTTCTACGTAGTGTCATTATTAATATACAAAAATTTTGGGGCAGTGTTATTTCTTCTTATATGCGCTTTCAACTCAGACGAAATCTTCTCAATCGGGTTCAATATACACGAATATAGTCTTAAAAAATACATGAAGAAGAATGTTGTTAATCGACAGGCACACAAAACAAAAATAATTATTTTCAAACTTACCTGTAAGTTAAATAGAGTACGAGTACTTACTGTCTCTCTTACTCTCTGAACTATCCAGTGGAAACAGCCTCGCAAAGTCAAAGCTCAAGAATCAGTACTTACTTGATGGATCACATTCAAATACCTCCGTAATATATACGAACATTTATTTAACCGAAATTCTCAGGTGTTCGAATGATCTTGCATTCTTGGAAACTCTACACACTCTATCGGCTCTAAATTACAAAAATTCAGTAGGATTTACAACCATTTTAAAAATATGTATTGGGTGTCCAAAAAGTATGTAAACGAAAATTACAATTACCAAATATGTTTTAACGAAGGTATTATAACACTAAAGTTAGATTCATACATTGACTCGTGTATTTCTTGAAAAATACGATAAATCGTTCTTTTTGCAAGTACAGCGCCATCTATGGATAATTAACAAACAATTGAGGACATTTTTGGCTGAGGACAGTTTTTTTTTTGCAAGAATTGGAGAACACCTTTAATTTCATCGTAGCAAATCAAATTCTCCAAATGCGCGTTAGCCGAACATAGCCGAATACTATTAATACTGCCTCGAACATTGCCGAAGATTCTGCGGGAAAACCAAATGAGAACGCATGCGCCAACCGGAACATTCACGACAATTCAAATTTTCCCGCCAAAAGTAGCTAAAGTGCTACAAGAATAAAAAATAGTAAATAAATAGAAGGTACTTTTGAGAAATCACTGCAACTAATTACATAGCTCTAAGAACAGTTAGTTACGGTTGGTTTAAATCTGTGTAACTAATAAAATTAAACGATATTTGGTTACGAATTTATATTAAATATTAGTTAATTACAGGAATAGATTAATACGCGCAATTACTTTAAAAACTAAATTACTTTAAAACTAAGGTCCTGTGAAAATTTGTTTGTAAACACACAACAAATAAAAGTGTTATTTGTGAATCAGAGTTCGTTGAGGATTCATGTTATTCGTGTTTTCCAATCTAGAAAGAACTGGAATTTTTCGTAGTTAGTCTGGAGAAAATCAGAGCAAATGTTAATAGAACTGTTAGAATGTTTCCTTTTTTGAAAATTCTATATGCTTGATACTATTTACAAATCTTCCGTTGACTTCTTCGGAGGTTAACTGAAATTTGGCTCGCATTCTACGCTGTACCTGCTTGGGGTATGAACATTGTCCCATATTGGTGATACGATATTATTCTAGACTTAGTGAAAGTGTACCCAATGCATGGACTAGAAAATAAGAAATTATCAATGGTCTAAAATGTGAGTTGTTAAAAGTTGTTTCAAATTACAAAAAAAACGTACCGCATAAAGTTTTTCGATTGCCTCCTTACCATTGAGTATTTAATGCTATAGAATTGATGTGGGCTCAGTGCAAACTATTTTTTAACAAAAATGTTGTGAGTAAGGCAAGGGACTATAATGTTGCAGTAGTATCTGTTTGTTGTGTAACACAAACAGAAAACATAATAAAATAATACTAGGAAAAGAGACTAGACTTAGATTTAACGATACCACCACTTAATCTAGACGAAGAATCATTTTCTAGGAGTGTCACTTCCAATTTTGGCTCTGATAATGGCGATGTTTCATCGTAGATACAAACTAAATATAGTTTACTTGTATATTTACTGTTTACAAATTATATACTATACGGTATGATATATATTTTTTTAATTTTCCAATTTTATTGGTATCGTTTTAATTGTTATCGCATTTTCAGAGTTTTCATAAGTATATTTAACAAATTGTTATTGTCATTTATTCATGTACATTCACTTACTTAAAAATTCGCATATTAAGGAACACCCCGATCTATTATTACTTAGAAATACATGAATCCATCTCTTACTCCTAAGTAATATTATAGTAGTTGTTAGTGACGACTGTGCATTGATCAGATAGATATTTAGGACGGAACAATATCAGTGGAAGTATAAGTGGAAGCAAGGTGACTAATTTATTTTAGTCTGTTTGGCATTTTATGGCCGACTACGCCATCACAAATCGTATCGACTATAGAATAAAAAAATCAAAACGGTCTATTTAACTAACCGCATTTCATAATTTTATATTAAACCCCTATTTTTGATTAGCTCAAAAATGTTAGTCAGGTAGCTTCCAACAAAATGTTCAACATTCGAGCCGCGTTTCAGAGGTTAAATTAAAAAAGTTTCAGTTAAGTTCCAAAGAAGCCAACCGGATGATTGATAAAACGTCTGCAAGTTGAATTTATAAATAACCGACGCAGGAGGGATGCAGAAGATTTGGAAATAGTTTTATAGTAGCCTGAGGAAGTTTTTTTACAAAATTAGGTTTCTTATTATCTTTTTTTTTAGTTGTCTTTGGTATCATCATTATTGTTGTTGTTTTCGTAAATATTTTTACTTGTACAGCAGTTTAATTTATTTTTGTCATATTATCATATTAGATATTTGCCTTTTCATTTTTTAATAATAATAATACATTTATTCTGCAATGTTCAATTTACAATACAATAAAATACCAAAAAAAGGATATGAAAGCAATTAAAATTGTTTCAAGTTCAACCCCTATAAAATAATATATAGCGATTATTTTAAAATTACTAGTTCGTATGAGATAACTATAGCAAAAAAGAAAATGTGAACGTGTATATAAAAATTAAAAATTGGATAGAAAATTTTAGGAATGAACTTACTCGAAATCACTTGCAATTTGCTTGTTGGCTGAGCATTTCTTGTCTTTTTTTTTTTTTGAAGTATAAGTTTAAGATTTTTTGCACAATTTGTAAACTGCAAAACTCAACCACTCACTTTTATGTTAAGTTCAGACACCAAACGATCCCTATTCTTTTCAAATAATAGATGATCCATGACGTGCTGAATAATCTGTTAGTTCTTTTAAATCTGCATTGATCAATTTTTGAGCCGTATACCAAGTACTGACGTCAAATGAATATAATACCCGGGTGTCATCAGCATAAAAATATGCCGTAACATCTTTCATACACGATACAAAATTGCTGGTGTAAATTGTAAATAAAAGCGGCCCCAGTATGGAACCTTGCGGCACACCGCAACTAACAGTTTCTCTAGCTGATTGACCTAAACTTGTTTGCATAATGCGTGCGATTATCAAGATAACTTTTTATCTTTTTTCGCTTTTATCGCACCACCCGAAAATCCGACATAATTTAAAATAGCTAACAGGACATATAGTGTGACATTATCTAAGGGTTATATTTTACAGGTCATCATACTACCTGACAAGGAATCAGTAAAGTGAAGTAAACCCACCTCCATTTAATAAATCGCCAAAATATGGAAACAACACTCTTTGGCTTAGCTACACTTTTGGATTACCTTGTTAATAAATAAATAAAATTGTCACATGGTGTTCTATTGAACAAAATTTCTTCCAAAATTTCTAAAATAAAAACTCGTTTGGTTTATTTCCTCTTGAACAGTCTGAGACCAAAGTACGTCTAATGAACGGAACGACCCCCAAAGAAGGACGACTGGAAATTAGACACCACGGCATCTGGGGAACGGTATGCGACGATGACTTCAATGAGGACGCCGCGAAGATAGTCTGCAAATATTTGGGATTCTCCGGCTCAGCTTTGGTGAAGAAAGACGCTCAATACGGATCAGGAGACGGTCCCATTTGGCTCGACCAGGTGTCTTGTTTCGGAAACGAGACCAGCCTGGAACAGTGCACCCACTGGGATTGGGGTGAGCACAATTGCGATCATACGGAAGACGTTGGTGTCGTTTGCGGAGTGTTCAACGAGGTCGAACTCCAAAGGAATTCGAAGGCGATAGGAAATGATAGACCGGTGGTTCAATCTATCGAACCCGTAGAATGCGGGTTGAGGAAAGATAATATATTCCTTCGGGGGGATGATGTTCACTTCCGTGTGGTGCAGGGATCAGTGGCGAAGCCTGGAGAGTACCCCTGGCAGGTGGGTATTACGGGAGAATAATTGGTGATGATTAACTGAGCGAGTGGTTGAATTTTTAGGCGGCGTTAAAGGTAAAAGGGAAAGATAAGAGCGCGCATTGGTGTGGAGCGGTTGTCTTAGCCTCCAAATGGGTGCTCACGGCCGCCCATTGCCTCGAGGGATACTCAAAAGGGGCGTATATAGTCGTGGCCGGAGAGTATGACACCGACGAAGACGAAGGTGCGTCGCAAATTATATTTCCGTAAACATATTCTTCTTCATTTTAAATAACTGTGCATCGAGATGCTTCGTTTTCGATTCGCTGGTAACGCGGGCTCTGTCTCAGACCAGGTCCGGGCTCAGCCCATTCGGCTCGCTCGTCGCCATATTTTACTTTACTGCAAAACTTAATATCAATTTAGGTAACTTGTTTCTTTATTTAGTGAGTAGGTTTAGTAAACCAAAATATATGTCCTGATTCTTAATATACTAAAAAAAAAACATTATTTTCAAATCAGTTTGAAAATATACAATCTGCAATTACGGTTACAGTTAAAATAGACAACACTGTATATCGGTTGAACAATTTTTATCCGCATTGGAAGACATTCTCTGGCTAATTTGCTGGGATGAAATGGCACCTAATTGATTGCACGCAGGTACGGAACAGCAGGCTTACATCGACGAATACTACCTCCATGAGAATTTCCGCAAAGGTCATAAAATGGGCAACGACATCGCCCTCATCAAACTCAAAGGCTCGGGCTTTCGACTGAACCAAGACATCCAACCGATATGTCTGCCCGACGAGGATGCCGATTACGACGCGCCCTTGAACTGCACGATTTCCGGATTTGGTACCATCCAAACCGGAAAATCGGGTGAGTAAAACATCGTGTCTCGATTATTGACGCTAACGGGGACGTTCTCAGCGTATTCCCATAACTTGAGAGCCGCCTGGATACCCGTACAGAAACTAGACATCTGTAAGATGGCGCACATCTACGGAGAAGCGATAGGAGATGGTATGATCTGCGCGGGTGACTTGAATGGCGGCGTGGACGCGTGCGACGGCGATAGCGGCGGTCCGCTTGCCTGTCTGGATGGTGGTGAGTAGTTTGCCATAGCCCAGCCTCATTTGTGTCTCTGTGTTCTATTTGTCTGATTTTCCAAAGGGGTGTTTACGCTGTACGGTGTGACGTCTTGGGGCCAGAGGTGCGGCTACGCGAACAAGCCGGGGGTCTACGTCAAGGTGTCGTATTATAGGCGGTGGATCGAGGACACCATGAGCCGCCATTGATGTTTCTTGAAAGACTTTTCAAAGAAACTTTCACAGGCTACCGTAATACTATTTACAAAACTTCTGGATTCCTCGTAACGTTTCTGCAATCATCCTATTGGCTTCTTCAGAGCTTAACTGAAACTGTTCAGTTAAGTCAGTTCTTCAGAGCTTAACTGCACAGTTTCAGTTAAGTTCTGAAGAAGTCAACAGGATGACTAGCGAAACGTTAGCAAGATTAGCTCAGGAATAACCGACGCAGGAGCAATCCAGAAGTTTTGTAAAAAGTGTTTCTTGAAACAGTTTTTCCATTCGTAAATACCGTTCCTTGTTGCTGTGATATGCCATTATTAAATGTAGATGATGTTTAAATAAACTTTTACTAGTATGATAGTATTTTCACAGTTAATCCCAATCCCAATCCCAACCACATCGAAACCAGTATTTAAAAAAAGACAGTTGAAAAATTGAATAATCGAACGTCCAAGGTTCAAAACATCTGAATGGACTGATAAAATTTTATAGCACTTTTTTATGTATTATTGTATTTTATAGCGCATTATAAGAGCAGTTTTTCAATAGGTGAGATCTTTCGTGTTGTTAAATTAAAACATTTCACTTGAAACCAAATACAAATTGTTATTACCGGTTGTATTTATCTGATTGCCGAATAGGCCAGCAACTTTTCTCTTTGTAAACAGAGCTGAACATTTTAGATTTAAAACTGACCTAAATTTAGGTGAAGTTGGAACAAGAGCGTACGCGTGTCTACTTAGCTTATACACCGCTATCCATATATCTAACCAAAACTAACCACAACTAACTAAAATTTACAAAAAGTTAGAACAAAGGCATAGGCGTAGGCGTAACTAGGGAAGGGGAGACTGGCGGAGTTTTGGAGGGGGTAAGTTTATACACTAATACAAAACCAAAACTAACTAAAATTTAGGTAAAGTTAAAACAAAGGTAACTACCGAAGGGCGAGACTAGTGGTGTTTTGACCAGTTTTGGTAAGTTCTACTCATATATATTCAAGCCAAACTAAACAAAACTCACCAAAACTTACGTATTAATTAGAACAAAGGTATAGAATCGTATGCTTAACTACGGAAAGTTTTGGCTAATTTTGTATGGTTTGGTTTTTACATTCGCACCCATATATCTAACCAAAACTAATTAAAATATAGATAGATAGAAGTTAGAATAAAGGCATAGACGTAGACTTAACTATGGACTAATGGTAGTGGTAGACTAGTGGTATTTGGCAGGGCTTATTTTATACACTCCAATATCTAACCAAAACTAACAAAAATTTAGGTATAGTGAGAACAAAGGCGTAGAAATATAGGCGTAATCAAGGAAGAGGAGACTGGGGATATTTTGGATGGCTTGTTTATACACTCCTACTCAAACTAAGTAAAACTAACAAAAAATAACTAAAATTGTAGTATAGTTAGAACAAAGGTATAGAATCGTATGTGAAACTACGGAATGGAGACTAGGGACGTTGTGGACAGTTTTGGTTAGTTTTGGATGGTTTGGTTTATACATTCCTAACCATATGTCTGGCCAAAACTAAACAAAACTAATTAAAATATGGAAAGGGAGACTAATGGTATTTTGCAGGGCTTATTTTATACACTCCTATATCTAACCAAAACTAACTAAAGTTTAGGTATAGTGAGAACACGGGCCTAGAAATATAGGCGTAACCAAGGAAGGGGAGACTAGGGATATTTTGGATGGTTTGTTTATACACTCCTACTCAAACTAACTAAAACTAAACAAAAACTAACTAAAGTTGGGTTATAGTTAGAACAAATGTATAGAGTCATATGCGTAACTATGTAATATGAGACTAGGGATATTCTGGAAAATTTTGGTTAGTTTCCATATCAAGCCAAAACTAAACAAAACTAATTAAAATATAGATAGATACAAGTTAGAACAAAGGCATAGACGTAGACTTCACTATGGAAACGGAGGCTAGTGGTATTTTGAAGGGGTTATTTTATACACTCCTATATCTAACCAAAACTAATTGAAGTTTAGGTATAGTATATTTTGGATGGTTTGTTTATACACTCCTACTCAAACTAACTAAAACTAAACAAAAAACAAAAAAATTAAGGTAAAGTTTTATTGGTTTTATACAATTTCATCGACATTTCTAACCAAATCTAAACAAAACTAAACAAGGCTTGGGAAAGTGACGCTTCCCGCACGCTAGATCGGTGCGTAATTAGGTATTATACAGACGGGTGTAGAAAAATCTGTTTAATATTAACATTTCAGGAATATTCATTATTATGTTTATAAAATTAATCGAGATGCGGCAACAGTGTTAAAAGAGTATTAATGATTTTTTTTGCCTTTCGGATTTATGTATTTGTTTTTTTTATGAGAAAAGCCCCATTCTACTATACGACTGTTTAGGTTGCGTATCAGTTTATTTACGGTCAATTTTAGTCCCGCGAAATTTCCAAAAGGCTATCTCGTCGGATGATCTTCCAGCCGCACTTTCCAATAACACTATTATCTAGCCAATATTCCCCTAATATCGCTGCCGTCGCAATTTTTGTGACCTCTGGCGAATTATTGCTATCAATTTTGATTCAAGCTTAGAGTTTATACGTAACCAACCACGGTAAGGCGATGAATCTCATAACGGCTCTAATATTGGTGGCTATGTTCGCGTATAATTATGCAGTAAGTATCACGCACTTCTAAACATATATTAGTTTGGACGTATACGTCTCTAGGAGTCTGTCACCGTAGAGGTAGCCAAGCCCTACGTCAGCGTCTTCCAAAATTCGGATATCCACAAATGGAAAGAAAATCGATGTTTGACCAATGCGACTCTAAAACAAAAGCAAATGCAAGACTACACCGACGCGTCATCGACTACCACGCACAATCCTCCAGCTCCCGTTAGAGTAGTCGCCTACAAAGAGTAACCAAAACCGGCGCGTTTCGTCGCCTAGATAGTTCACGTCTTCATTGCAGATGTCCCAGTAACCAAACCGGTCACTTTGCGTACGCCCTCTTCTGCAACCAATACCTGGATTGTTGGCAGGGCAGAGGCGGGCCCAAGAACTGCGAGCCAGGTGCTCTATTCAACCCCAAAACTTCCCAATGCGATACTCCCAGGAAGGTCGAGTGCCTCGAGAACTTTGTAGATCTACAGGAGCTTATCACCACGAATACTGCTACCTCTACTACTTTAGAGTCATCGATAGTACCAACAAGCACGACGATATCAACTCCAACGACGACGATAGAAACCGCTCCAGTTTGGCCCTGTCCCGATGGCTTCTACGGTCTCGTACCATACTGCGAAGACTGCTCCAAGTACCTCCACTGCAGCCGGGACATGGCTGGGTTTGCGTATTGCCCACACGGAACGATTTTCAGCTACAAGAGGAACGTGTGTGCTGCACACGAGAGCGAATGTTTCGTCAATCAGCCGACGAGTGTCAAGAGAAGATTGTTCTGCTACCGAGAGCAGCAGCAATCGCCCACTTCAACTACTCAGAGACCAAGAGCGCCACGCAACGACGGGTACAAGATTTTAATATCAAACGTCGGTGGCAGCTTGCTTCGATACATACGGTCTTATGTTCCAACTCGTCTCGTTTCCAAAAGGTCAGCGCAATTTGTCCAGTGTCCGGCTGACTTTAACGGTATCACCAAACACCCGTTCGAGTGCAACAAGTTCCTCCATTGCGGTCCGGGGGTGAGTGTGGTGAAAGAATGCGGAGCTGGTACCGTGTTCAACCCCGCCATCAGCGTCTGCGACTACCCGTATAACGTCAACTGCGATGAAACGGAAGTGGTGCACGTGGATCCTCCGATCACCATCACCACAACGTTTTTGATGCCCACTGCGCCCTCCGCGCCGGTGATCCGAGAACTTGAACACCCGGAACAGCCCCTTTATCGTGTAGATGACGTACCCATGTTGGAACGAAAGCAACAAAGCCCAGCGGTAATCGATGCACCGGTTCTCCCAGAATGCACCACCGAACAGTTCAAATGCGGCAACGGAGTATGCGTGTCGAAGCGCAAAGTGTGTGACGGATATAAGGTGGGGGTAATATTAGTTTTGTTCTTGCAGGATACGAAGGTGGCAAAGTTTAATAGCCACAATCAAACATTCTATCAACTTAAGGGTTCCTAAAGCAATCTTTCAAATCTATATTCGAACCAAGACGACTTTGTCACCTATGAACCAAATAATTCACTCTCTTATGAGCAACTTGACTGTTTGGAATTAAACCTCGATTTAAACCTAAGGGAATCATCCACCATCTTATTCTACACGTAATAATAAGTTGAACGTTGCGGGTACAGATTCGAGATGAGTAGATAGGTTAGGGGGATTCAAAGCCACTTCTGTCGTTTTCACATGTAAACTTAAAAAAGAACATTTTAAGACTGAAAACTAGCGTTGTAGGTGAGCAATTATCTAATTTCAGGACAGCCCTGTGACAGATCTTGTCTGCAAATGGCCCTGAATTTTTTTTAGTCTGGCACTTAATATAACGAACTGACTTTTAATGATTTTTGCGCAATATAACAATTAAATATCGCAAGTTAATTTATGCCGTTTTATCGGCATTTATTTATTTGTGCAATTTCACAGAGAGGTATAATGGTGAAGTATTAATTATTATCTGTTATAGTCGAGCACAAGACAAAATTCACTTTTCAATCTGTTTTAATGATGTATAGAAAATGCCAATGGACCGTTATGGGTTCAACTTGTTTGGAAAGTAGGAATTTTATTTGGTTTATATTGTTATTTAATCTGGATAAGGTTTTAAACTCAATCTAACTGGTTTCTTATGCACTGTTCAATTTTCACCTCAATTCATAGATTTAAACACAACTAAATAACTAAAAGAAAATGAGAGAGAGAGATAGATAAAGATAGATAGAGAGACAGATAGAGATAGATATATAGATTAAGAGACATAGAGAGATAGCTAGAGAGAGAGTGGGGGGGGGAGCGGAGAGAGGGTAGAAAGGGGATAGTTGGAAAACAGGACAGAGGGGGAGTAGGAAAAGTGGGGACGAGGAAGAGTAATGGACAGAGAGGAAAAGGGAGAGATTTCGAGAGTTATTACACATATAATTCTTTCAATTCTCCGTTAACTTTTGCTGAAACTAACCAAATTTCCAACGTTGTTATATCTGTTTCAGAGAAGACGTGACGAATACTTAATGAAGGGATTAGGATTAAACCAAAAATTTTCGCTGTTGTTTATTAGATCATTTGTTGTGACAGTCATTTGTAACGTGACAAAACTGCAGTTCTGCAATTTGGTTGCAGAACTGCATTTCGGGCGAGGACGAAACAGACTGTTCCAAATACGTGAACGAGTACGATATCCATTCCAAATCGGAACTGAGGGTTGGAGAAAAAGAGAAATTAGCTAATATTGGGTACCGGACCTGCGCCTATTTGTGCTCCGAGAGTCGCAAATTTATCTGCAAAGGTTTCAACTGGAGGCAAGCACAGGTACTTGCATTTTGAGGCGCTTTATCCACGGTAAACTTTTAGCGGAGCCACTTGTCGCCTGTTGGACCAAAATCTAGGCTCCAGCGGAGCCAAAGTGGTGAAGGAAGACGTATTTTACTTCGAGAGGCGGAGTACGTCTGAGACATGCGGATCGAACCTCAAATGCAACAACGGAAAGTGTCTAAAAGACGCGAAAAGCATCTGCGATGGAGTGGATGACTGCGGGGATAGATCAGACGAGAAGCACTGCAAACCAGCAGATTATGGCTATAAAATTAAGCTGGCAGGCTCCCCGAATCCCCACGAAGGACGTCTCGAAGTGACAGGTAACCTCCGAAAGTAATGTTCGTCTCATTTGGAATTAGAGTGAAAATGAAATGCAATAAAAACATCTAAAGTTAAATTAAGATCAACAATGTACTGTCCTAATTTTAAGTAACACCCTTTGCCACGCTGGCGTTGGGTTGGAGCAAACAAAGAATTTCTACTTATGACATGATGGTGCTAAAAATTGGCACAGGAAACTTCATCTAAATTTCGTGACACATAAGAAATCAACCATAATTTCTGAAAACGACATTATTTCTTCAACTCACATTTTTCTTTTAGCTTTTGGTCAGACTGCGCTTGTTTGCGATGACCTCTTCAACTTAAATGCTGCTAATGTGGTCTGTAGAGAAATGGGTTACCCCTTGGGTGCTTCAGAAGTGAAAGGTAACTCGTACTTCGTCGACGATATCAAGGGCCAAAAGGTATTCTTCTGGTTGGACGACATCGAGTGTCAAGGAAACGAATCCAGCCTTATCAATTGCGATTATCCTGGGTGGGGCAAGACGGACTGTGATAGAACCGAGATAGCAGGTGTTGTCTGCAAAACGTCAGTCAATAACTGTCCAGAAAACTCGTGGAGGTGCGATACCGAGGACAAATGCCTAAAGCTTGAACTTTTATGCGACAAGGTCAAAGATTGTGACGATGGATCCGACGAAGCACCCCAGCACTGCAACGTCAGTATTCGCTACTTTGGCAAAACACAAACTGTCTATTAACCTGTTCCAAAGGCCTCGACCCAAATTCGTCTGACGAACGGCAAAGGACCTCACGAAGGCAGGGTGGAGGTTACTCACCTGGGTATCTGGGGCACTGTCTGCGACGACGACTTCAACGAGGTCGCAGCCCGGCTGGTATGCAGAAAGCTAGGATACCAAGGGTCGATAGAAATAAAAGGTGAAGGTTACTTTGGAGCAGGTAAGGACATTGCATCACTCTTTTACAATTTGTTCTTTAAATTACGTGAGTCTTAGGTAGCGGACCCATTTGGTTGGACCAGGTAGACTGTTTGGGGAGCGAAAAAAATCTCGAAGATTGCACGTTCACAGCATGGGGTCAGCACAATTGTAACCATTACGAAGATGTCGGCGTGATTTGCAGTAACAATACGAACTTCGCACCAAGCTCGCCAAAAACTAGTATGTTGAACGATTTAGAACAGCAAACGGTTTCAGTTTCCCAGTTTCAGATGAAAACTCGTCTCTCGAGCCGGACAGTTGCGGTCATAGGGGGGACAACATCTTCGGTGATGACTTAGATGGCCCTCATGTTAGGCTCGCAGGTGGTTCGTTGGCTAGGCAAGGCGAGTATCCTTGGCAGGTAATTAAGGAAAGGTTTTGTATTGCCAGATCGGTGGAGGTTTTTGTTTGAAGGCTACGTTGCGGGTGAACAGGAGGAAAAACACGCCGTTACAGTGCGGCGCGGTCATCATATCCTCCAAGTGGGTGTTGACTGCCGCACACTGCATCAAAGACTATACCAAAGACTCGTTCTTGGTGGTGGCCGGCGATTACAACTCTGACGAAGCAGAAGGTGAGGTCGTACGAAGCCAGCCAGGAAAAATATAAAATATCATAGAATGTAATCTTTCTCGTCCGATATCCAAATGTTTGAACTGAATCCGCAGGCACAGAGCAATACGCATTCATCGAAGACTCGTATGCTCACGAAGAATACGGAAGGGGTGCCGTCAACGATATAGCGCTGATTAAACTGAAGCATAAAGGTCTGAAGCTGAACGGGGTAGTACAACCGATTTGCCTGCCGGACGTCAACGCCAATTACGAAAACGATTTGTACTGCGTAGTGTCTGGATTCGGATCTTCAAAAAGTTCTAGCCAAGGTAACCCGAAGAGTTCCATCGATCGTAAACTCCACGTGGTTTCTCGGTTTACAGAACCATCCGTCCGAATGAAGCAGGGTTGGGTACCGATACAAAAGAGACACGTATGCGAGGGCATCTACAACGACTTGTTACACGAGGGGATGATTTGCGCTGGGGATCTTAACGGCACTGTAGATGCTTGCTCGGGTGACAGTGGCGGACCATTGGCGTGTGTCGAGAACGGTGAGCGTTACGGTAGAGAAAAACGAAGCCATAGAGAAGCGACAAAACTTATCGGTACCTTTGATATTCAGGAGGCTAGTTTTGGTGGTCTCCACATTATTGAAGTGGGAGAAATAATTTCGTATAATGAACCGAGACCAAAACTTACGCTTTAGTATATATGCAAATTCTTTGTTTTTGTCACAGAAAATTATTGTAAGATGTTCGTGGCAAGGTGATTCACTATATATCTAATATAGGAAACTGGAATTGAGGAAAAATATTGTTAGATGCAATGGTATATTATGCAACAATTTTGATAACTGCAACTTTAGTCACGAGTTTTTTTGGGCTTGAGTGGAGCGAATGGTTAGTAAACGAGTGAACGCTTGGTAGAAAAAAACATATTTTTGGTATTTATATTCCGGGTGTTGATGCAAAAATTGCTTTCTAAAATCTGGTAAAGAATTTATTTCTCAATTTTGAATACTAATAAAATAAACATTACCAAATTATTACAAACTAAGTTCTGTATAAATAAATAAACCAGCAATGCAGAACAAATTAATTTTTTTTATATTATTTATTTATTTATTTTTTTTTGCCAAATTATTTTCTTCTTATTTTTATTACTTTTTAAGTTTCTATAAAGTTTAGAATCTTCTTATAAATAATTTTCAAATATACATACAGCATGCTTGCGAAGTTTTTGAGCAGTTTTTGTGAATAAGTCCGTTTTGAAGCACGATGTAGCACTAAAACGTACGCTTGATATTAAACGCTGATTATTGTATCATCTGCACAGAAGGATATAATCACAGGAACTGCACATTTATTATTCATTACACCCCTTTGATACTAGTTTCCATTTCTTTTTGGGCAAGGCGATTAAATCAACTAGCAACAAATAATGAATAGCTGTGAATTCTTAATGTGTTCTCTATGGGTTCGTGTTTTTCTTGTTAGGGTTTTCCAGTAGGAAGTTACTACTTTGGTACTAAAGATGACAGTAAATTTTTAGTAACGGAGTGGAAGTCTAGGTTTCTTTAGTCTATGGTTTTACTCTCTTAATCTTAAAATAAACGGCCGTTTTTTAGGAGTTTTCACTTTGTTTGGGATCGTTTCGTGGGGCCACGGTTGCGGGAGGGCCAACAAGCCTGGCGTTTACGTCAAGGTGGCCCATTATAGAAAATGGATCGATAACGTTATTTTGATTCACTCGTGATGGTACTGGATCAGTGCGTTCCTACAGAAAAGGCTGTGAAAATTATAAAAGATATTCAATTATAGGGTTAAGGTTAAGTTAAGGGCGACCAATTTTTATTTGTTTGAAGCTTGATAAATGTTAAATTAAGGTTCAATAAACAATATGCAAGCAAAGGCTTCCCCAAAACCTCATTTTTTTTCTTTCTTAAAAATTTGGGTTCCAAATTGGGCGAGAAAGAGCTATGGACTTTATATTTTGGAAATTGTTGTTTCTCTAAACAAAGTTGGAAACCATCTGGTCCAAGGCCTATCTTGATGGAGCTCTACCTGTCAACCGGCAAAGTTAAGCAATTTTCGGAGAAGAAAACTCTTACTTTTTTGTCGATCTAAATGGTACTCTGCTTCTACTACTACTACTACTAGTAGTATAGTATAGTATGTAACGTTGATAAACTAACAAAATTTCAATTTGGTCGTCATAAAAGAATCCCGGACGAACAAAAATATTGAAAGAAGATACAAGTTTTAAAAGTGTTTGTCTCCACTAGGATGTTATTTTAAAAAAGCTAGGTTATCTTAATTTTACGATATTAAATGCTATTTGCTATTAGACCCGTAAGGAAAAGTTTCATTTAGAATTATTTCCACCAAGAGCTGACTCGGAAAATTCAAAGAAATATAGGACGTGAAATTTTAATTCAGAATTCTTATGTGATAATTACAATAATTATTAATCCTTACAAAGCATTTTGCTAAAGTATTCAGTCTCTAAAGAATTGTTCCTTCTGTATATGTATATCTTTAAACAATCCCTCAAGTGTGAGCCGCCTTGGGGTTTTATCTGACCCCTAAACTGACCTTCGAACCAACTTTGGAAAATAGTATTGCTATTGTGTAGCCTGGTCGTGGAGGTATCTTTAAATCTTCTCAAAGCGGATTGGAAATAAAAATAATCGATTGCTCAGGAAACGGAAAAACTAGACACTTTCATAAATACAATGAGCCGGCCCACTTTTCATTGGACAATTTCGTTAATTATTCTAATGAATGTTAATTTTTTGTCCAAGTTTTATGTTATTTTGAATTTATATTTGTGTACTATCTGACTTATGTAGGACCTTATGCGGTTGTTAACATCAATAAATTATTATTACTAATAACATTGCACACTAGTTAGCAGACAAGATTGTTCTACTCACTGTGCAAGATTTTTACGGTCTATCAGAATGGCGTGTAATTTTGCCCTGCGCCAAGACGCGTCATATGAGCGATAACGCAGCTTAAATTCAAAGATGGCGTATTAGCTGAAACCATAAAGTTGTTAGGTAAAAATGGCGCAGTCAAACCGAAAATAATACACCTCGCCAAATGTCAGCGGCCATCTTGAACCCCGCAAGATGTTATTGATTAAAGGGGCGACCCATATTGAATATTTAATTTTAACAGTTTCATGGTTCGTAACCATATAACCTCAAGAGTAACACTCAGACCTACTATTCATTTTCTGTTAGCAAAATTAAAGAGGCCGAAATTTTGATTAACGCAGACCTACGTAAATTTTATAAAACTGTCTCTGATCATCTGTTGCATCTTGCTCCAACTAAATAATCAGTGTTACTCTTCCACAGTAACGTTTGAAGTTATAAAACTGAAGGACACGCCTCTGCCATATTCACTTATAGGCAAAAGTTTAGGATTGATATTCGATCCTAAGTTGCGTTTCAGGGATCACGTCACAAGAAAACTAAGGACAGAGTATGGAAATTTAATACTGACCTACAGCAACAGATATTGACACTATTGTCTTGTCGCAGTTAAATCACTGCTTCTTCGACACAACAGCGTCAATAAAAACTTTTAAGCAAATGTACAATGTACTTGGATCTCAATAATCAAATGCGATATAATTCAGATGCGTCTGTGTCAGATACAAGGAAACAAATTTCCAGTTTACGCAGTTTATGATTTTTTGTTATATAGGTAAAATTAGTCTTGAACAATATCTGGCTCTTCCAGATGTCTGAAACTTTTGTTTAAAAGAAAGCCCTTTATTGGCTAGGTACTATACAAGTTACTGAAATATGAAATGTATTCTTGGGACAATAAATGTATATTATTAATACATAATAATTAATGTTAATGTGTAAGAGCTCCCTGCTATCCTACTTCACCTAAGCTCACAAATTTTCGAACAATGTGACATGTCTGGAGTATTATATCTTTTTGTGATGCACCAAAGATGCATGCCTACTTTCCCCAGGTTTTTATTGAAAGTTTTTGTAACAATTCCCTCCATTGACATAACCAATGGACTTATGGTTACTTCATTAAGACGTCAGATTTGTTTTAATTAGATAGCCAGGTCTTTATATTTTCTAACTTTCTCAGCTTCCATAGATCTCAAATTGTAAGTATGGCAATCATTGATATGATTGTCCTTTTTTTTTTTCGTGTTTATTAATGAGAATTTATTTTGGTTCATATTTGTAAAATGCAGGAGTATCTTTCGACAAAAGTTCCCATTTCAAGCCCAGTTACTGATGTATAATTTGTGCCTTCCTAAATAAGCATTATCTGCTAATGCGCTACACCCACCCATGAAGTGTTTTACAGTAGTGCTACTATTGATGTTGATGTTGATTTTCAATATACGTTCCCTTCTTTTCTAGGGATATAAAGCCGTGATGTTGATGAGTTGGGATGTGAACATCTGAATTTTGTTAATATCTGGCGAGTTGCTCCATCTAAGCCTTCCAAGCCAGAAATGGCGATGACATTTTTAAAGGTTAGTTTAGTACATCCTTTTTTTGTATTTCTCAGTAAATTGCTGCTTAAGTTGGGAATGGTCTACTTTGTTTGTTTGTAAAAAGAGCCGGGTTCTAGGTCTGCGATGTCTTCGAAAGATTCTTCTGCTTCATCTGATGGTTCAAGTTTTCCTTTCTTGATTCCTATTGTTGCGCACTTATCCGATCCAAATGACATCTTAATACCGTCACTGAATGTTTTCACGCTTGCAATGAGACTGTTCAGTTTTGAACGATTTTCTGCATACATTTCAGTCATTCATGAATAACAGGTGGTTTATTTTGGAATTGTCGTTGGGTTGTGGCTTGTGAGTGATCCGATCTGGGTTGCATTCAGAAAGGTTGACAATGGGTTTTTGGAAAATGCCTCTTTTGCCTTTGCCTCTAGCTATTCATTTCGCAAGTGTAGATTTACTCGCCAGCTTTTCATCATAGAGTGTAATACGCATTTTATTTTATGGCCAATTTTATAGATTTCCGAACATTTTCAAAAACCAGTCATGTGGGATGGAATTAAAGGCATTTCTGTAGTCAATGTAACACATGTAGTGATTAAGTCTATTTGTTTGGGATTGTTTCGCAATGGCAGTACCAACAATATGTAATATTTACAAACTACCTGCCACTATATTCCGAAGAATGACAATAAAACCTTAATTAATGTGAGAATTTAAGTTTAATAAAGAAGAGGTATTTAAATCTAATTGATCCTTAAGCAATACATTTGTATGTCTCATTTTGTTAATCTCCATGGCTTCCAATAAATTTGACTTTCTGCTTTTTGTGGCTGTATGTAAAATATCAAAATTTTCGTCAATTTTTTTCTGTGTTGCATAATTAGAATCTAGACTAAACGCCCCTTTATGTTGGTTAATGCGTTTCTTGAAGGATCTACCTGTTTATCCAATATAAATTTTAGGACAAGATTCGCATTTCAACCTGAAGACACCTGATTTTTGAGATTTTGGACATTTCGTTTTATTGTCTGGATATAAAAAACAAATCCAGACAACAGTAAACTCTATTTATCCGAAACCTAATACAGAACACGAACAATTTTAAACAATTACATACATAGGAGAACCCCGTGAAAAAGTTCAAAACATTTGTCAAAATGGGGCTTAACAACACAACAGGAAAATTTTTAAAAAACAATAAAACGAAATGTCCAAAATCTCAAAAATCAGGTGTCTACAGGTTGAAATGCGGATCTTGTCCTAAAATTTATATTGGACAAATAGGCAGATCCTTCAAGAAAAGCATTAACGAACATAAAAGAGCGTTTAAAAACAATGTTCTAGATTCTAATTATGCTACACACTTAAATACACAAAAACACATTTTTGACGACAATTTTGATATTTCACATACAGCCACAAAAAGTAGAAAATTAAATTTATTGGAAGCCATGAGGATTAACAAAACGAGACATTCAAATGTATTGCTTAACGATCAATTAGATTTAAATACCTTTCCTTTATTGAACTTAAATTCTCACACGAACATTAACTAAGGTTGTATTGTCATTTTCCGGTATATATAGTTTATAAATATTGCATTTGATAAAGACACGGTGTTAGTTCTTATTTATTTTCCCCTAATTCATCCTTTTTGTTCTTCTGAAATCTACTTATATGTATCGCGGTGTTCATATATTTTGTTGTTCAATAATGACGTGTACAGTTTATAAATAACTTTATTATTATTATTATTATTATTTTAAATTTCGGCTTTTTTAACACGCCACACCAATTATTCGAATTTGGTAAAATAGAGAAGGCGATGCGTCACGAGTTTAGAGGAAAATCGGATTTTTTACCTGTTAAAAGTTAATTTGACGTAATTTATTTGATTTTTATATAGCTATGTTTACTAAACGTGACTTCTTGGAACTCACTTCGCTTCTAATCAAAACCACGAGGTTTGCTAAATCGATATTTAATGCACGTCGTTGATATTAATCTTAATTATCAGAGGAAAAATCCTTTTTCGGGTATAAATGCAAGAAAAATTCCATCGGTTTTCGAAGGTGACCAACGTCCAAGCGTTTAGTACCGGAAATTTCGTTCGATCGGTTTCCGAAATTTTGTCATCGACACGATTAACGATAATAGTGGAGGCTATCGTGGGATCTTTGATAATGTTTGAGTATACAGGGAGGTGGCGCTTAGTGGCTTAGATATAATTGAAAATGACTTAGGAACCTTCCGAATGAGCAAAAAAAAAGACGTTTCAAAATAGGACTAGAGGTTTAGTTCGGTCAATGTCTTTCTATATATAACACAAATCAAGAAATTCCATTTAATTCAAATTTTAAAATTTAAAAATTACCATCTACCATTTAACAACTAAACCAAGAATTAAATTCAATTGTATTATGTATTACACAAAAAAAATATTGGGCACGACTGGTAGGATCATTCGTTCATTTAAGACCTGAGTTTGGCATTTTTGCTTGTAGGTGTGTTCCTTGAAGAGGGAAAGAGGAAATGAAGTTTTTAAACAGATAAAAAAAAATTGCTTCCTCCGCTTCCACAGCGGACCCCTAACCGGCGTGAATGGCAGGCAAAGTGGGGCTCCAGCCAGTTTTACACTCAAGGAAACACGGCAATGACAATTAAACAAACGGTTATACCGAGAAACAGCGGATTCTGCAGGGAGTCTACAAGAAACGACAGGCAAAGACGAATGCCACTCACAGAATCCAGACTAAGAGTTAATACCATTAACTATTAACTATCAACATATTTTCAATTGTCATTAAAGAATCGGCAAATCACCTAGGCACTCGGATTTTCAACTAATTTAGAGTAGAAAGTTGGGCCTCTCTTGGAGTTTATGCTTCGTTGATAATTGTTAATTGATTTTTATAAACCGATCTATTTGGTTTCATTGCCTTCAACAATTAATATATTAGGCAACAAATGGGGTAAATGGCATTTGACATTATATGTTTAGGAAAGGTGTTGTATGCTATACCTTTTCTACGACTGTAAGTTTTTCGGTACATTTTTGCAAAACATTCACTGACATGGCCGTCATAATTGACAAACGTCAAAATTCAAAGCGTGGGAAATATCTCCGAAAACATCCGATTGCTCTCAAATTCGGAAATGTCCGAAGTGGCTCGGATTCATGGGAAACGAAACTGACGTGGTAAAGTGACGCCTCACGCACGCTAGATTGGTGGGTAATTAAAAGGGAAAACGAAAACTATCCTGTGAAGGAAAATAGTTTTTCTACTCCTTTCTCTAAAATGTCCAGTTATACACAGATCAAATATGACTCTTCAAAATATCTGTGGCCATGAGTACCATTTTCTTGGGACATAGTCATAACTTCCAACCTAGCAAACAGTTTCCTTTTTCATTCTATTGTTTTAGAAATTGTTTCCGGGAGTTTTCGTTTGTCAGCTCCTTAATGACTGACGTCATTAGGCATTACAGTATGTTTAAGTTTTTAATTAAGTTCATGGATTTTATTCGGTGTCGATTTTATTTTTTATATAGAGAGAAAGATGTTTTTTTTATATAATTGAGAACTTTATTTAACAGCAAACAAACAAAAAAATATACCAGCTGGTGCATAAAAATGTAGCTTAGATTTTTTAGTATATGGAAAACTATGGATAAAAAGTATTCGGGCCTGCCCTCAATTCACATTATTTCCGTAATTAAGATTCCATCCCAAATTTTAAATTGGCATCTTAAAAACTGAAGGAATCATAAAGAAAAACGTTTCAATCACCATCACCTTAAATATACTGCTCTGGCAAAAAAATTTTTCTCCTTATTCCTTTTATGCATGATTTCATCATATTTTGTGCTCTGGACACGGAATTCAATCGGCAAATCAGTACGACGCATAGATTTTGAATAAAATGTCTATTTAATTGAAAAACGATGTTATTTAAGTTACAACAATTATAAAAAATATTACGGTTTTTACAGTGGATAATGCTATAAAAATATCAGTAAATTTGTCTCATTTTGGCGATAAAATAGAAGCAGTTTTTTTTTCTTTTCATCATTTCCATCTGTGTTTCTCGGTGAATTGCCCAACAGAAATCAGCAAGCATTTCTGCTGACCTGATGAAACCTCGCGCCATGCCAATCTGATACGGCACCGAGATTTTCAGGCAATAAATCTACATGGCAGACCAAAAAATGAATTTTAAGTGACACATTGCATCCTAAAACTTAATAAGCACAAAGAAGCTCCCAGCTTTTGTATTCCCAAGAAAATTATGACATACAAAAGCCACCCAAGCTCTTTTTTCTGCTTTGATCAACTTCGTCGCGTATTTGCAAAATTCCTTCTTTCAATTTTACGTCACTGAATCGCGGATATTTTGTTTTAGTAGTCCCAACTTTATGTGGAGTGGTGGCAGAAAAATTTTGTCACTTAGCACTAAAGGTTTATGAGATATGCTTTAGAGTCCAGGTGTCAAGCTGTCCCACTCGCATAAAAAACAACAGAAATTGGTGTATCTTCCTTGTAATCCAGTAAGTATAGCGAAAACTTTTAAATCAGCACAAATATTCCATAGGTATTGAGAATGTTTTATTTCTTCAAGTAATACCTCCAGATTTGCAACTGGGTATTTATTACCATTATGGAGTAACAAGGCTTTCAAGCTTATCTTTGAGACATCAATAAAAAGTCTCCGTTAATCAGAATTTTCTGGGAAACTGAGTTCTTGAAGAAGCCCAGCAGCATCATTACAATATACTAAATGTTCTTCTTTCGAAAAGTCACTTTATATCTTCTTGTCTTGTGCGAAAATATGAGACTGTTGTAATTTTATCCAACAAATTCTACTGTTTTAATCTTGCTTCTAGTAATTGTGCTTTAGATTTTAATACCTCTGAGTCTCTAATAAGAACATTTAACTCACATTGTTTAAGTAAATGACGTTCTTTTGATGGGCTTCAATATCCAGATACGTGAAGATGTACAGGCCGAAATAAAACTATATTGTGGCTGTAGACCGGAAGTATTTTTATTTTCCATCTTTTCGTTATTTTTTGATGGAGCTGGAGGTAAAGTGCTTTCACCACGAGGAATTGGTTTCTATGCATATACGATGTTCGGATATATAATCTTACTATTTTTTTTTTCGAGAATCCTTCTGTTGATGTCATGCGGAAATAACAATCATTTTTATGATTATGAGGTTCACTCCAATACATTGGCATTGTAAACGGCATAGATTTGTGACTACCTTCAAGACAACCTCTCAACGTTCTTGGGCAACTGTTACAGCATAATTTTGGCAGCCAACTTTTATCCCTCTCATCGATAGAACATCCAAAATAAAGCTGATAAGTTGTTTTAACAAGGTCGGTTATGACATTTCGTTGCATTTCTAGAGTAAACTCACCACAAATGTAGCAAAAATAGTTTGTAGACTTCTTACAAGTTCGCGGTATTCTATAGCCTAAAATTAAATAAAATTTATTTACGAAAAATTTTCTAATTGCTATTATATGTTGTTCGTGAAGAAATACATGAGCTACACGTAAAATAATTTAAAAAAATATAGAGAATATGAATTTTATGCAAAACTTATCAAAATATTTGATATAGAACGTAAAAAATTAAAAGATAAGTTTTCAATTAGCTGTTGTGAAGTCATAATCATCATCACTCATCAATCATCACATTTGGCATTATCCTTCTTTATCTTACAACTCGCTCAAACCTATTTTGTATGTATGTATATGGTTATGATGTTAACGCATAAAATGAATTTAAAAAAATCTAAATTTATGACATTTAAAAAATACATATATTGAAAAATATAGACGGGAACATATTCAGAGCATTAAAATCTTCATATTCATAATATAATTTTTTCAACGAGGATTTCATTGAATATTAGGACGTTTCTTTAATACGCATTGTATTAAAACCTTTATTCCTAAGCTCAAATCGCACTTTTTTCCATGGCATCGGGATTTAAAAAGATATTTTGATCGTTCCCCGTCAATTTAGTCGGTCGTTAATGTCTTTCCAGTAGATTTCAAAAATTTCCAACAACAAATCGACGGATATTTTGCCTTAACTACCGGAAAATACTTCCACTTCGGTTCGGTTGCCCTAACGTGTCCCCACCAACTCACGCGACGTACCTATAAAGTCTGACCGTGCCGCACAGCGCGCAAGACGTCGAAATCCTAGCCTCCCTAGATTGAAACTTGGAAAAAAATAGTTAACGCGTTCCGCTCGGTATTTATTTGACTTTGATCGGCGGGTGATCGTGACTTGTTTGAAAACATCGACGGGCGCGCTGTTTGAATTTCTGGCGAGTTTGTTTTTCGTAGTTGGCATTGGCAGTGCGTTTTCGACCGTGTTATTTTCGAAATGGTGGCGCACGGAGGTAAGCGACTTTTGGGGTCTTTATTTACGAACTTTCCTGGCGTTATTGCCACCGTTTTTTTTTTTGTTATATAGGTATTTATATTTCGCGCGTCTTATCCAATGCATTTTATTTTAAACGTAACTTAGGGTGACTTATTTTTTGTTGTAAGTGGAATAAATAATAAAAATCGAAATTTAAGCTTTCCTAGTGTGTATTTTTTATCAAGATTTAACCTTATACAGGGTGTATATTAATTAAGCTCCGATCGGTGTAAATGGAAAAGTCAACACCAACATATTTTGTAAACATTTTAGTTTTTTAAGAAAAAATATTTTAGCATTTTTTCAATCAAAACGTACATTATGAAATTTTGAAAAACAAGTATTCTCAAAAAATTAGACTTCTAAAAATAATTTTAATATATAGAAATAGCATTGGTGTTATGTTTTTTCCATCCAAAATATGCGGACGTCATTGGTGCAAATTTAAAAACTTTTCGAAGTCAAAAAGCTCTCTTTAATAATTAAGAAATGTGTGTAGAACACTTCAGAAAAATAGCTAGAATGGTAAGAACGTTTTGATAAAAAAATGTTTTTTTTTTCAAACACTCAAAAATTGAGAGATTTACGGCATATGTTGATACTAACTTGTTTTATTTTATTTATTGCGTTGTAAACATCTTAATTTCTGAGCGAGAGGGTATCAATGCTTTAAGAAAAATCTCTTTTAACATTTTTTGTATCACAATATTCAATATCATGCTTACGTGGACTTTACCAGTGAAGGTAGAAAATTAATTTCATAAAAATATATCTTAATGCGGAATCAACCAAATTTGGACGAAATATCAGGAGCAGCCTCAATTAACTTAAGAACAGTTTTTTTTGCTATTTAATGGGACAAATTTTCTCCAAAAATGAGGCTTCTAAAAATAGCATTGCTGGCACATTTTTCCTTTCTAATTATTCAGTTTTAATCCCGTACGGACGCCACTGATACAAATTTAAAAAATCTTTGAAGCCAACCAATGCTGTTTAATAATTAAGAAATGTTTGTAAAACACTTGAGAAAAAATAAAACACCTGAGAAAAATCTAGAATGAAAATAGCATTATCATAAAAAATGTTGTTACTCTCTTAAGGATTTAACACCCCGTACATGTGAGTTGTTGATGGTTAAAGTCATTATTTTGTGGTTGTTGATTCCTGTTAGTTATAAAATAATTTTTAAAACTCTGTAAACCACCTTAAAAGTTTTAAATGTCTGCCTCTTATTTATTTTCTCAAGTTAAAATGTGACATATCAACGCCAATGCACATGTTTAATTCATAGCACCTGTATACCCAATTTCAATAAAATATCTAGAGTGACATGGCAGATGTAATTTAAAAATAATTTATTTTTCAAACCTTTGCCACCCTGCATTTGGAGATTTAAAACCTTTAGGACATACTTTCATATGAATTCCGCAAGTAAAATGGACCTAATGAGTGCTGACACTGAATTAGAAAACGCCCTCTATTTGAAATTAATTTAAAATAAAAAAATAATTATTATAATTAAATACTTAATTAAATTAAAATATAATAATTAAATAAATATTGAGGTAGGAAGATAAGCAAATCTGTTGTTTTCAAGAACCCATTTTTCTATTCACGCCGTAATTCAAAAAAAGGTGACGGTGACGAAAGTCTCATTACTTCAGTTCATCAATTTATTGTGAAAATATCGACAAAAAGAGCAAGGCACATGACGCGGTAACTCGAAAATTGAAATTCTGTGTCAATTGCGGTAAATTATCGACCAGTCCGCTAGCGAATCTAAAAAAAAAATAAATAGGTATTAATTGCAAACCCCAGAAATTTAAACTGATAATTACGAGGCGATAAACTAACGTACTAATTATATAGTAGAAATCTATCCGATGCGGTGATCCGCAAGTGGGTGTAGGTAATTATTTATAAAAGTTTTATTTGGTTTTACCATTAAAACTTATATTTCATAACCTCTCAGCACTAAATTTAAGATATAAATGAAAAAAAAAATTACAAAAATATTCATTAACGACACAGTTTTATAACAACATTATTTAAAAATAAGTTATTAATGCGCAGATGTTAAATTAATAATAATAGTTAGCTAATTAATTGATAATATTAATTATTATAATTTCAAATTATAGTTTTTTATGTGACATTTTAATGCGAGTTAAATAGGAATAACAAGTTATTTCCATTTCGCATTCTTCTTGACTCTTAATAAAAATTTGATGTTAAGTATACAGTGGGTTGAAAATCACACTTAATTATCAAATAGTTATACTAATTTCGTGTTCATTTATTAACCCAGTCTTCCTTTTACATTTATGTGTTGTGGTACGCCTGGTATATTTTTTACACCATGGTAAAAGTAAATCCAAAATGAAACGTAAAAGTGACTGCCTTTAATTTGTAGATAAGAATCGCGGTAAATGTTCCATTAAGATTCATCTGTAATCCGTAATCAAATCAAATTGAAATGCGAGATCCCACATTAAAAGCAATAACAATGAAAATAACATACTTTCGACGATGCTGCGCCGCCCATCAGTTAATTTATTTAGTGTGCTTTTTCTTAAATAGGATATTTTTTAGATATAAAATGCCAAGGAAATAATGTAAAATAAAACAGCACATTAAAATTAAATGATGTCATTTAAAAGTCGCTCTATTTATAGAGCCTTATTTAGACTATTCTCTTTGTTTAGACTACAAAATATTATAAATACCTATGCATTGTCCTAATGTCTCAGGGTCATTATATTAACGTGAAACATTGTATCAAGAATCAATTTTTCAATCACTAATACATGACACAAAAGATTATGGTAATACTGTCAGGTATTTATTTAATGATGAAATTCATAATTATTATAATTACCCTAATAATAATGCTTGGTAATTTTGGTTTGGTAAGAAAATGATGACTGTCTTGAAACTGGTTCGGAATAAATAAATAAAATATAGCAAATTTTACAACACTTGTTAATATCAGTGAGACACCTAAGACTAAGTTGACCTGAGATCTACGCTTGAGTTGTTTGCTATTAATTTGTAATTAACAAAAAAAAAAAGGTAAATATAAGAAACGTTAGGCGTAGAATAAACGAATATAAATTAATATTAAATATCTCAATCGAGAAATTTAGTTACTAATTAATTGTAGCCGTTTGCTATAGATTTACCCTTAGAAAAAAAGAAAAAGATAAGAGACGTTATACCCCAAGTATCAATCTCTCAATCCGGTCGTGGAAAGTAATTCTAAAGAAAATTAGATGCCAATTAATTTGATTTCGTGCAAGTACAATGCAATGTCAACATCAAATAAATCATATGGTAGGTCAAAGACTTTGACCAAATTCAATGATTTTTGAATAACCAATTCACCCAAATCCATTTGAATAATCGAATTGATGTTCTTTTGATTGATCTGAAATTTTTTAATCCACATTGTTAATAAGATATGATTATTATATATCGAGCAAATCGAAAATGCAAAACTATAATATGGATAATATTCCCATTAATATTAATACTTGCTAAGTATTTTCTTTGTGTGGCAGATTCAAAAAAAAATCGTTTTTATTTTACCTACCCTAATAGATACACATATTGGAATCGTTTCCTCGAATGCAGAAAGCTCTATCTCTGTATCTTAATCTAAGAGCTGCATTCATACAGAGAATGTTTAAATTTAAACTCAATTTCCATTTTGAGGGATCGCCACAAACGTTTCTAATGTTTTGTATTTCGTTTATTTAATTAGTCAATGTTCAAGGAGGCATTACAATTTTATATTTTAAAGTTTATCCATGCGTTTAGAAAGAAAATGGCCCAAAGAGCAGGTTAGTTTGTGAAATGTACAAATCTATTTTAATAGCTGTATATTAACACATAATGATAAATAATTTGATCTGCTTTATGATTATCCGTATATAAAATCATTGCACTTAAAACGTTGCAATTGGGATTTTAAAATTATATTTCGTTTGTTTTTCGTTCTGTTTATTTGTCGGTTGATGGGGTCAAAATAAGAAAAAGGAAGGCAAAAGAACTGGCAACCTACTAAGCAACTAATTTATTCTAGATTCAAACAAATAAAAGAGCAAAAGTAACTTTTTGTTTGTTTGTTAAAGTAAAATATTACACTCGCGAATATCGGCGTGGAATATCGATCGATGGGTACTGTCGGGAACTTGGTAGAGTTCGCCGAACGATATACGGTTTTTAGGATATAATCCTGTATTTAACATCGTATGAAAGTCTAACTGCAGGTAAACCTCGCTTGGCTTTTTCTTTGGAAACCTCAATAAATAGATTCGCAATTCCACAATGACGTTCTAAGAGTTGAACTAGAACTTTTTGTAATTGTTTTCAACTACCTAAAGCTAAATTTTGTGATATGGTTTGCCAAATGATATACCGTTTTTAGGACATAGGATTTGTGTAGACTTTCATCGGTGAGATTCCTCTGTTATTGTTAGTCCATGCAGTGAAAAATTCATTCAACAATAATATTTATATAAAAAAACGTCATTCTATATCAAAATAATCACTATCGTCATTGGACTCGCCCCCCACATTAATAATTAAACATTTTCTTCTTCGATGACATGTTCTACACATTTTTTCCAACTAGAAGAAGATATTTTTTCTACTTCACTTCTAATTAATTCTGTGATGTGGAGGAAGACGGACACTTTCTCCGGATATCGATTTCAGAAACAGAAACACATTTAAAATTATAGTTTTCGCAGCAATCGGCAAATGTGTCCGAGTCTTTGATCCATTTGAATTTGACGGATGTTCATCATCAACGATTATTACGTCATGCACCACAATCTTCGTCGCTGGAAATCGCAACTGACTAAAAAAATTGAATAATGTTATTATTTGGTGAGAAATAAATTGTAATAAAATGTATGTAGTACCTCAACTCAACACTAAGTTGGTAAATACTAATAACCCCAAAATTTCGAA